CTGGAGCACAGAACGAAGCACATTGCTCTGCGTTACTTCCTCGCTCGAGAGCTGCAGCAGCGTGGTCAGCTTCGCCTGCGTTACGTGGCCTCTGAGGCCAACACTGCTGATGTGTTCACCAAGGCGCTTCAGCCTTGTGACCATCAGCGCTTTTGCACTCTTCTAGGCCTTGTGCCTACTGGACCTCACTTGCTTACTTCTTGAGTCTGTTGTACTGTGATCTCTATATATAAACCTGCATGTGAACTGGTCTTGTGACCACTTGCTTGTGCTCGGAATTTGTGTGGTATCCTTGAGATCCACCCTGAGCTTGTTTTGCCTTGCTTTGCCTTGACTGGTCTTGTGACCCCTAGTTCTCCCCCACTTTGCCTATGGGGGTGTGTCAAACATTATATATGTTGTGTTAGTTTAGGCTACAGTGGGTTAGCCTATAGGGGGTACACAATTCTAGGGTTAGGTACTTGTACTCTTTTCATTGCTAGTTCATTCATTCCTGTTCAGTGATTCCAACAATCAGGTACTCCTGCGTTGGCGGCGACGGTTGCTGCGCCTTTGCGGAATGAGTGGGTTCCGAGGTGCTCGAGTCCTAGGCCAATCTTGTGAAATGCCTCCTTGCACCAATTGCGGATTGTTGTATAGGAGGGTGGTGTTGTCGTACTAACGCGACCCGTAGTGTCTGAACCAAAGACTCGTATCAACGGGCCGTATTGTGCGCGGCCATAGCCTGCCAACTGGATGAAGCGTTTGGTGCATTGTACGGGGCAGAAAGGGCCCGGACTGGCGGCTACTGGGACCCATGCGCCTTCTCCTGCCTGGTCTGTTTTAGAGTGGGGGATCAGGAGCCACATAGCGTCTTTCTCGAACTCAATCTCGTGCCAATTGAGTGCGACGAGGTCTGAGCATCGCAGGAAGCCGGCGTACATGAGTAGTGGGATGAGCCCCTTCTGAAACTCGCCCGGGTTGTTTGATTTCAGGAATTCCGCCGCCATTGCATGCACTTGATGCAGCGAGACGGGATCCTTGAGTCGTTGAGGTCGCGGACAATGTCGCTTGGCGAAGTCTCGCACATTGGATGTGAACGGCCCGGTCGACGGGCACGTGGCCCCAATCATCCGATGCGCGAAGCTGACTGCCGAGCATGTCAGTTGTATTGCGATATGGTGGCCTTCTGTTGAATCGCGTGGACCAGGTATAATGCGAGTGTCATGTCTGTGCATGGCAGGAACTGCAGTTTCACGTCTATGCTGAATGCTCGGAACCTTGCCCAGTATGGTTCGTAGGTGCGAATGGTGGAGTCAGCCCTTGTATGCGTCGTTATCCGAAGCAACTCTTGCTTGAGCCGCTCGAGCAATCCTGCACCAGATGTGTGAATGGTCAGGTGGCGAAGGACACTTGTAATGCAAGAATCGGGCTATGAGGCAATCCTTCCCCAGAAAATGCGTGAGTGTGGGTGCCTGCGGTCAGGCACTCGCTCCCATGGGTGAGGCAGATATGAGCGAGAATGCAGGCGGCCCATTGGGGCGGGGCGGGTTGTAGTAACGGCCACCAGCTTGCCCCTGGCCAATGAGGCACGACGAGCGTGAGCGATGCTCGCGTCCTTTGGGCGTGATGCAACACCGCTGGGATGAGGTGGGGTGGCGGAAACGCATATGCATGCTCGGGGGCCCATGATATGGAGAAGGCGTCCGTTGCCTCTGCGTCAGGGTGAGGAGTTTTGGAGCAGAAGCGAGCCAGCTGGGTGTTGTTCGCATTGGCAAATAAATCGATTCAAGCCTCTCGGCACCGCCCCCTAGGGCGTTCACACCACCGGTGCCGGCCCTTGGGCTCCTCCCCCATTTTCCAGGCAAGCATTGGCCATGTGGCCTGGCTGCCCACAACGGAAGCATGAGCCACGAAAGCTCCTTCCATTGCCGTCAAATGGGGGGCCGCGCTTGTTGCCAAATGCCATGGGCCCGCGCCCTCCGCCACGTGGGGTACGGTTGAAATTGCCTTGTGCGCGCTCCATCGCCGCCACGTCCGCGACGGCTTGCTTGAACGGGCGTGAGGTGAAGACGCTCTTATCTTCGTAGAGCTTGAAGCGATTTGCCGTGCGGAAGTTGGTGTAGTCGGCGACGTGGAGTAGCTTGAAGCGGTTGGTGATAAGTGTGAAAGCTTCGCCAAGGTATTCGAGGGCGCTTTCCGGCTCGTTGTGTCGCACCTTGTGCTCTGCATGCTTCAGGTATGCCCGCAGGTGTTCCAGGACCTCGGCTTGCTCGCGCACGGCGGCGTTCTTGAACGAGGCGGCGGTTAGAGTGGGATTGGGAGACGGGAGTGGGGGGAGTTGCTCAACGGGTGCAAAAGCGGCATTTAAGGCATGTGCCTCACCATCGTCGTCGTCTTCATTGTCGCTGTCGATGGGGTTGTTCATGACTGGAGCGGCAGCGGCGCGTGTGTCTTCGCCCTTTCCGGTTTTTGTCGTGCGAGCGCGCTTCACAGACTCCGTTTTCGCCTTTTCGCTTTTAGCAGAAACGGAAGTCGTGTTCGGTGTAGCGATTTCTTCCGTAACAGCAGGGGCCTGCTGCTATAACAGGGACAAAAGCTGCTGCAGTTGGGCTGCAGTGAAGCTTGGCGCCACTTGCGCGTCAGGCCCCACAGGCGCGTAAGGGCCCACAGGCGCGTCAGGGCCCACAGGCGCGTCAGGGCCCACGGGCCTGCGGCGCTGACGCGGACGCGGGGTGCCAGCCGCGCTGGTTGGCGCCGACTTGGCGCCTTCTGTCGCGGCCAGCGCCTGAGGGGCCACAGGGGCTCGAGGCACACCAGGGGCGTGTGCCTCGACTCCAGGGGCGTGTGCCTCGACTCCAGGGGCGTGAGCCTCGGTCGCGCCCAGCAGTACGTCGACGCCAGTCGGGGAAATTTCCCCGTCGTCTGCCCGACGCTTGTTAGGACGATCGCCGGCAATTTCGCGTGCGTTTCTTCCGGACTCGGGTCGAACAGAGGCGGTAGCGGTATTACCCTCGCCGTCGTTAAGTGCCATGGTTGCTGCGTTGTGAGCGAAAATGTCAGAGAGTAAAGTCGACGGGGATTGAAATCGGGGAAGAGACTTCAACTTCGCCAGCTTGAGAGTGGCGAAAACCCTATCTACCACTAACCCTCGCTTCGGAAACTGCCGCTGCCGCCGCTGCAGCTGCTGCTCCCCCTGCTGCCGCTGCTCTTGCTGCCGCCGCCGCCACTGCAGGTGCTGCTGTTGCCGCTGCTGCTGCCGCCGCCGCGGCCGCCGCCACTGCCGCAGCTGCAGCCGCCGCGCAAGCCGGGCCTTGCTCGAACCTCGGCCCCTCATTGCAGTACCTAGAATTGACCCTAGGCGACAATAGCTCGCAAGGCAACTTCTTATCCGCCCGTCTCTGGTCCCTCCGCACACTCACGCACCTCTCCATCACCCATCTCAAGCCCAACAGCCTCGCGCTTTCCGCCTGTAGCCACCTCACCAACCTCCGCTCTCTCTCCCTCTCCGGCTGCTTCCTCCGCCTCCCAGACTCCGTCTCTCTCCTCGCCCCATCCCTCCTGTCCCTATCGCTGGAATACAACTCTTCCCCCACCCCCACCATCAGCAGCAGCAGCAGCAGCAGCAGCAGCACGGGTGGCAGGCGCCTCATGCTGCCCTCATTCATCTCCCACCTCACCTCCCTCACCGAGCTCCACCTCACAGACGTTATGATCCCCTCTCCCCCTCCTCCCCTCGCCCGCCTGCTCTCACTCCGCAAGCTATGCATCACGAAGAGCGCCCACCTTCCACACACCAACCCCTTCGTTCCAGAGAACATCGGCCAGCTGGCAGCGCTGGAGTGGCTAGAGCTGAAAGGGCGTGTCTCGGATAACGGCCTGCCAGCATCTCTGACGAGGCTAGGCGCGTTGAAGTTTCTCTCTGTCGAATGTGACAATCTGGATCGGCTCCCAGACACTCTCAGCGGCCTGTCCTCCCTGCAACAAGCATCTCTGACCTCTCCAGCCCTTGCCAGCCTGCCTCCCTCCTTCTGCCTCCTCTCTCGCCTCCACATACTCACCATCACCGGCAGTCACCGTCTTGTCGCCCTGCCCGCTGATTTCGGCTCCCTAGGCGCCCTCCGACGTCTCTCCTTCCACTCCTGCTCTCGCTTGCACTACCTTCCCGACTCGTTCTCCTCGCTCGCCTCCCTCGTCCACCTCACCATCACAAAGTGCCCCCAGCTTTCAACCCTCCCTGACGGCTTCGGCTCCCTGCCTCGACTGGCCCGGCTGACAATTACCTATTGTGACTCCTTCACTCACCTGCCCGCCTCCTTCCCCTCCCTGCCATCCCTCCGTGCGGCCGATTTGAGCTTCTGCAAGCGCTTGCACTCCCTGCCTGCCCGCGTGGGCTTGATACCGCGACTAGAGGTGCTGCATCTCAGGGATGTGAGGCGCTCGTGGCTCTCCCGGATTTGCTCAGACAGGCCAGGGCGCTCAGGCATGTGAATGTGTTTGACAGTGGGGTGGCTGAGGAGAGAGGTCAGGCGGACTGGTGTGGAAGAGGAGTTTTTATTGATTCGGGAACAAGTGTGTGCAGCAGAGATTTTCTCCGAAGCTTACAGGAAGACGATTCTGACTCTTGTGATTCTGGTGCTTCATGGTCAAGCTAGGATACTCCAAATTCCTGATTGTCAGGGTGTGCTTGGTTGGTTGGTGGATGCATCGCTACGGTATCTAGTTTTGGAAACCAGAAAGTGTCAATGCCAAGATGGTATTTCGGAATAAATGAACTCGCGTTTCGATGCACCGGCCGTAAGTAACCACGATCATGTTTCGCTTTGCAGCGTCGTGTTATGACAGTGAAACAAGCATTGACTAAAATATTTACAAGAAAACCACTCTGATTTTCTAAGCAAGAGTGTAATAAGACTGTTGCCCGCCCGGATGGGACATGCTGGTGAATACCGTATGGTTGTAGTGAAAGCAAACCATTAGATTACAATGTTGTATCGAGCAGAACTCGCAAACAGAACTCGCTATACACACAACGCAATTCCAAGTACAGCCAACGACACACCCCCCAACGCCAACGCAGGCTGTATTTTCTCCCCAAACGCATAGCCTGCTGCTGCGTTGAAGGCAAACGTGGCCCCGTTGCTGACTGGCACTGCCACAGAGAGACATGCACGCCCCGTAGGGTGAGGAAGAAGAGGACTGAACCCGAGAGGTTGAGGCACAGAGGCACGTAGTACTGGGAGGGTGGGGTTGGGGTTGGGGTGGAGGGGGTGAGGGGGTGGGGGAGGGGGGCAGTACTGGCTGTATTTTCTCTCCAAACGCTGCAGGGTGTTTTTGAGAATTCTCAAAAACACCCTGTAGCCAACGACACACCCCCCAACGCCAACGCAGGCTGTATTTTCTCCCCAAACGCGTAGCCAGCTGCTGCGTTGAAGGCAAACGTGGCACCGTTGCTGACCGGCACTGCCACAGAGAGACATGCACGCCTCTTAATGTGAGGAAAACGAGGACTGAACCCGAGAGGTTGAGGCACAGCGGCATGTAGTACTGGGAAGTGGGGAAAGGGGAGCAGGGGGGGGGGGGGGGGTGTGGGTGTTGTTTGGGAGTGAAAGGGAAGACAGTGGTTATTGCTGACCGGCACTGCATTGCCACAGAGACATGCACCTATGTTGCACTATACGCGATTCGCGTATCAGTCGCGTTCGACTTATACGCTTACGTACGAACGTGAGACGGGGGATTTCCGCCCCAGGATACGCTCCAAATACGTTCGCCCGGGCAGGGGAAAAAAGTTCCGGGCAGGGGAAAAAAGTGCCAGGGAATGAGTGATGGTCCCTATATTCAATGTTTCTTGCCGGTCTGCGTCGATCTGCTGGCGGAATACTAGAATCGCGCGGATCTGCTGGCGGAATACTAGAATCGCACGGATCTGCTGGCGGAATGCCAGATCTGCGCCCCTCTGCCTACCTGCGTCCAGCTGCGACATTAGCGGTCGACATTAGGTTTTCGAAGCTGACAACGTGAAAGCCAAAGTGTGGTTGGAAGGGAAGGGTTGGGTTTGGGAGGTGGTGTGAGGTTATGTGCGGTGGAAGGGGGGGGTGGGTGCGGGGGAAGGCATTCGACTTTCAGATGTCAAAATTAGGTTATGGAGAATCACAGAACGCGAGAACGGTCGCAACATTTTTTTTTTCGACGGGCTGCCCGTCCAGGCGTATCGCGTGTTTGTCCCCGTATCACGTTTTTCCGTTTATACGTGAACGCATAAACGTGATACGATTAAAGCCCCCAGCGTATAGTGCAACATAGACATGCACTCCCCTCAGGGTGAAAAAGAACAGGACCGAACCCGAGAGGTTGAGGCAAAGCGGTGGGTGATACTGGGGGGGTAGGGGAGGGGTGTGCATGTGGGTACATTGAGGGGAGGAAATGAGGGTGGGAGGCTGCAGAGGTTGCTGACCGGCACTGCCACAGAGACGTGCACGCCTCGTAGGGTGAGGAAGAAGAAGACTGAGCCTGAGAGGTTCAGGCACAGAGGGAGGGGGTGGTGGCACAGAGGGAGGGGTGGTGGCACAGAGGGGGGAGGAAATGATGGCAAAGAGTGAGGAAGAGGATGAGGGGAAAGAGGGGGGAAGGGGATGATAGGAAGGAGGAGAGAGGGGGGGGATGATGGGAAAGATGGGAAAAGGGGATGATGGGAAAGAGGGGGGAAAAGAGGGGGGGAAAGAGGGGGGGGAAAAGGGGGGGGGAAAGGGGGGGGAAGGGGACGACGATCTTGGAATATGGTAGAGAAGAGGGGAGCGGTGAGGGGGAGGGTAGGGGCCAAAGAGGAAGAGAAGAAGTGGGACGTCAAGACGGAAGGACGTCAACAAGGAAGGACGGAGGGGTTTTGAGAAGAATGAAAAAACAAGAAGAAGAGGAAGAGAGAGGTGGGACGTCAACAAGGAAGGACGGAGGGGCACGGGAAAGGAAAGGGAAGAGGGGGGCGTGGGTAGGACTGCGAGGAGGGTAAGGTAAGAGGGATGGAGAGAGAGGAAGAAAAGTGTGCATGAAGGGCAAGAAGGCACGCAGTGCGAAAAGAAATGGATGGCAGAGATCCAGAGCGGTGGAATGCGAGAAGCATCGCGACATGCAAGACAGGGAGGGAGCAGCAGCAGGGAGCAACGGGAGAGGCGGGTGTGTGTCAATCATGAGATGCGCCCAGCAGGGTGCAGGAAAGAGGAGGAAGCATGCACAGGACAGGGAGGGATGCACGCGGTGAGGTAATGGGGAAGCAGCAGGGAAGCAGCGGGGAAGCAGCAGGGAAGAAGCGGGGAATCTGGCAGATTTCCTTCCCTGAACTGAACTGAACCGTTTCCTGAACAGAATCGTGTGTGAGCTGTTAGCTCACACGTGTGTAGTTGAGCTCACAGGGTGTATGCATAAGGGGAAAAATGGAGGGGAACGAGGGGGGTAAACAAGCGGAAGCAGGTGGGGAAAACGAGCGGAAGCAGGAGGGGGAAACGACTGGAAGCAGGAGGGGAAACGACTGGAAGCAGGGGGGGAAACGACTGGAAGCAGGGGGGGAAACGACTGGAAGCAGGGGGGGAAACGACTGGAAGCAGGGGGGGAAACGACTGGAAGCAGGGGGGGAAACGACTGGAAGCAGGGGGGGAAACGACTGGAAGCAGGGGGGGAAACGACTGGAAGCAGGGGGGGAAACGACTGGAAGCAGGGGGGGAAACGACTGGAAGCAGGGGGGGAAACGACTGGAAGCAGGGGGGGAAACGACTGGAAGCAGGGGGGGAAACGACCGGAAGCAGGGGGGGAAACGACCGGAAGCAGGGGGGGAACGAGTGGAACCAGGGGGGAAAACTAGCAGAAGCAGGGGGGTAAACGAGGGGAAGGAAGGGGGGAAACAAGGGGAAGGTGGGGAAAAAACGAGAGGGGGGAGCGGCGGAAACGAGGGGAAGCAGAGGGGGGGAAATGAGGGGAAGCAGGAATTTAGTTCAGTTTTGCCAGCGAAGCACGTCTGTGAAGCAGCCCTTCCGAACAACTCTGTCGGCCTCACGTTTTCCAGTCTCTATTGAAACACGAGCCCACACCAAGCTTTAAACGCGTACGGCTGGAGCTCCTAAGAAATGCCGCTAACATCTCTCTGAATCCTTGCCTCCTACCTACTCCCTCCCTTCGACCAACCTGCCAATCATGAGTAACCACGTGGACGAATCTCCGGCTTCTGAAGGATAATCTTTCAGGAAACGACATGGAAGCTTCCAGGCCGGCGGTTTTGCCGGCAGCGGCGGCGGCGGATTCGTCCGCTTTGATGTGCCGCTTTGACATCGCGGCGCCGCGCTTGATGAGCGGATTCGTGATTCCCCAGACCGCGCCGACCAGGAGCAGCCATGCGACCCGCTGCGACTGCGACTGCGACCATCCCTGCGACGGACGACGAGATGACTTTGAGTGGACGACGGAGTATGTATGCTTCACATCAGTACGGACCGCCAAGCTAGTGTCCCCAAATACGCACCGATAAGGCCCTAATTAATACTTGTACAAATCGCGTACGAGATTAGATCATCGACGCCTCTTCGAAAAATCAAATGGCTGTCTGGTGCTGGCTGTAAGGGTGGCTTCAATCATGCAATACGCCAAGCTTCTAACCTTAGGGCGTGTCACATCTGTACGACCAGAGTGACGAAAGTCGGCCGTTTCTTGGCGATGCCGATATTTTACCTTCGCTGTATATCTTCGGGTAACTCATACCTCGAATGGTTCGAACACATCCGTGTGGACAACCGCGAGCGAGCTGCTCTTTCGATAGGAGCGACGACGACTTTCGCCAATGTTATTCCGCTCTGGTAACCATTCCTCCCGAGACTCGTTGCATTTGCTTTTGGCGCATAGTGTGCTGGCTGGTTGACGAACAGTCAATTCCCCTCGATACCGCATTTCCGCCCACAGCGAAAGCGCTTGTAACAGAGCTGCAGGTTTGCGAAGGGTGAGTTGACGTTGAGGAGGAACCTCCTAGATTGCGAGGGGAACTTCCCAGACAGTACAATAACATGGGCCGTCCGCCATCCTCCAAGCACGCCAGTCCGCCAGAAAAATGGTAGCAGTCCCATGAGTCGTCGCGTCCCTTCCCACACACGTTTCCATTATCCCATCCCATCCCATCCCATCTCACCCATCCCATACCATACCATACCATCCCATCCCATCCCATCCCATCCCATCCCATCCCATCCCATCCCATCCTATCCCATCCCATCCCATCCCATCTCATCCAATCCCATCCCATCTCAATTTCGACTCGGCGTCAGCAGATTCCTTTTCTTTCTTCAGCAGATAGACTAGGAATCTGCTTAGGCTATTTTGTCGTGGGGGGTTCTGTGAAGACGACAGCCATGGCCACAGCCAAGCACAGCGTTTAGGGTACAAGCAGAAAGAGCCTCCGTTATACGAGGCACTACTGACTAGAGCCGCCTTTCCATGCTCCAGTAGCATTGCATTTTTCAACTTATCGAGGTTGCGTGTATCGAGTACGATTCTAAGCGATTCGTGTTTTGTTGTTCTACCCGACCCACCTGCGTCCGCGGTTCGGGCTGCCGGCCTGCGAGAGTGATCTGCCAAATATCCTTGTCGACCGATCGCAGCATGCCACGTAGGACGTAGCGTGCTGTAGAAACGACGGGTGTTGCTTGAACAGGAGGAACCGTCAGCGGACGCTTTTCTTTAGGCGCCTCGAAGCTTTGAGGCGCATCGCAAGTCGTCGCACGCATTTCGACTTGAATGTATTCGGATCATTCATGGTAGTGTACACTGAATCTGGCGAAGCCCCATAATCAGCATCATCAGCATCGTCCTAGTCGAATCACGTCCGCGCGTCATCACGGTGCAATGATGGATCCTGCGCTGCACACTCGAAGCGACACCATCAGCAGCACGCGGCTTTCGCAGCGAACATTTTGGAGAGAGCCACAAAATGACTCTGATCCTGCGGAAAGGACGTTGCGCACGTGGCGGACGCTGACTCGGAGTTGGATCCAGCGTGGCAAAATGAGGGTTTCGCTGGGAGCGGTAGCGTGGTTGTTGGTGCTCGTGCTTCTCCTGTCCCAGCCGTTCCAGGGTACGCGCGTCTCTCACTACTTCCAGTCACAATCCCTACCCCCCCTTAGATGTCATTTCTAGTTTCATGTCGTCGTTTTGGGCTGATAATTCGTTGTCTGTCTCGACATGTGCTTCTAGATTCGCTGCTTTGGTTCTGCTGCTGTGGTCTTCCCATACTGACATACACACTCAACCTTTCTTTCCTCCTAACCGCCTGACATCTCTCGCAACCGCATCTCGCCCCTTGCCATCTCGTCTTACCACATGCGAACGCGTTTCCACCGTACCATACCCCGTTTCTGTTCTCGCAATACATCCCTCCTCCCCGTCCCGCATTTCAGTGGTTCTTGGCTCGGCAGGCCCTTCCGTGCCATCCAATGGCGCAGAGAGTGACTTTTGAGTCGACCCAAAAGTCACCACAATACATCTCTCCTCCTCCTCCCCCATTTCTGTGGCTCTTGGTTCCGCAGGCCCTTCCATGACATCCAATGGCGCAGAGAGTTCGCCTGGCGTAGCCACATGCGAACGCGTTTCCACCGTACCAGACCTCATTTCTGTTCTCGCATTGCATCCCTCTCTCCCCGTCGCCCCGCATTTCAGTGGTTCTTGGCTCGGCAGGCCCTTCCATGGCATCCAATGGCGCAGAAATTTCGCCTGGCACATCCACACCTGCTGAAGAAACACCTGGAGCAAAAGCACCTGGAGGAGAAACACCTGGAGCTGAATCACCTGAAGCTGAGTCACCTGGAGCAGTGTCAAGAAGAGATTTGTTAGACAGAGCTACAGAAGGATTCCGAGCAGCAGGCTCTTTTGGGGAACCAGGCGACAGGGTAGAAGAAGCGGCAGCTGCTGCTACAACGGCAGAGACAGGTTCAGCAGCAGCTGCAGGGGAATCAGCAGTGGGGGAAAGAGCAGCAGGGGAAGCAGCAGAAAAGGAAGCAGCAGGGACAGGAGGAACAGGAACAACAGCAGTAGGAATTGCTGCTGAGCCTGATGCGTTACCTGGTAACAGCGATGGTACCGGTAGCAGTAGCAGCGGTGGTAGCAGCGGTGGCAGCGGCGGCGGTAGCAGCAGTGGTGGCGCGAGTGGTGGCGGCATGAGGCGAAGGCACCACCTGTCTGATCCCAGTAAGGTGGCTGGCGGGGCGGTCCGGAAAGGCCACAACCTTGCAGGGGAAGGCACTGGGGCAACAGGGGACAGCGCTGGTGCAGCAGGGAGGGACGCAAGGGGGGGAGGCAGTGGCGGTGTGCTGGCAGGGGGCGGCAATCTCAAGGTTGCTCGGTTCACCAATGACGATCTGCTTGATGCCATGGATATGCTGGTGAGTGACGTGGATATGCTGGTGAGTGACGTGGATATGCTGGTGAGTGACGTGGATATGCTTGTGAGTGACGTGGATATGCTGGTGAGTGACGTGGGTATGCTGGTGAGTGACGTGGGTATGCTGGTGAGTGACGTGGGTATGCTGGTTAGTGACGTGGATATGCTGGTGAGTGACGTGGACATGCTGGTGAGTGGCGTGGATATGCTGGTGAGCGACGTGGATATGCTGGTGAGTGACGTGGACATGCTGGTGAGTGACGTGGATATATGACCAACTTTTGCTTGAACCATAGCATGGTTAACTTGATAGAGTTTGTGCTGTTGATATGGTTATGTTACGCTACATATAATAGAGCTGGTATCCAACAGCTCATCCCTTATCCCATATAACCCCCTCCTCCGTCCCCTTCCGCTCCGTCCCCTTCTCCTCCGTCCCCTTCCTGTCCGTCCCTTTCCCCTCCGTCCCCTTCCCCTCCGTCCCCTACCCCTCTGTCCCCTTCCCGTCCGTCCCCTTCCCCTCCGTCCCCTACCCCTCCGTCCCCTTCCCGTCCGTCCCCTTCCCCTCCGTCCCCTACCCCTCCGTCCCCTTCCCGTCCGTCCCCTTCCCGTCCGTCCCCTTACCCCCCTCCGTCTCTCCACCAATTCCCCAGTTCGCTCGCAACGCCAAGCGCAACATGCCAGCAGCCATCGAGAGGTTGAAGCACATGGTTGCCCTCCTGCCCCTCCGTTTCCCCATCCTCTCCGTTTCCCCATCCCTTCCGTTTCCCCATCCCCTCCGTTTCCCCATCCCCTCCGTTTCCCCATCCCCGTCCCCACCCCCCTCTCGCCAGTTCGCCCGCAGGGCCAAGCGCAACGTGCCAGCAGCCATTGTTGAGGCGCCTCAAAACTGAGACGATTTTTGAGGCGCCTCAAAAATGGCAACGTGCCAGCAGCCATTGAGCAGTCGAAGCCCATGGCTGCCCTCCTGCCCCTCCGTTTCCCCATCCCCTCTGTTCCCCCATCCCCGCCCCCACCCCCCTCTCGCCAGTTCGCCCGCAAGGCAAAGTGCAACGTGCCAGCAGCCATTGATCAGTTGAAGCACATGGCCGCCCTCCTGCTCCTATCGCATTTGCCCCCCTTCTTATCCTCTCTTCCCCCCTCCACCCGCTCCCCTCCTCCCTCCTTCGCCCTTCTCCAGTTCGCCTGCAAGGCAAAGCGCAACGTGCCAGCAGCCATTGAGCAGTTGAAGCACATGGCCGTCCTCGTGCTGCCCCTCCCTTCTAGTCCCTTCCATCCCTCCTCCCTCCCTCTTCCCCATTCCCGTTCTCCAGTTCGCCCGCAAGGCCAAGCGCAACGTGCCAGAAGCCCTGCAGCAGCTGAAGCGCATGGCTGCCCTCCTGCCGCCCCTCCCCCCCGCGCCCTTCTTCCCCTTCCCCTCCAGCCCCGCCCCTCCGCTTCCCCCTTCCGCCTCCTCCTCCCCCTCCTCCCAACTCTCCACTTCGACCGCAGAAACTGGGTTGGGGCATCGGGAACAGGAGGGGGGAGTGGGCGGGGGAGGGGGAGGGCAAGTAGGAGGGGCAGTGGCAGGGGAAGGGGGAGGGGCAGTGTTCGGGGGAGGAGCAGATGCAGGACAGGAGGGGAGGGGTACGGCAGAGGGTGGGGCGGTGCAGGAGAGGAGGGTTGCGGCAGGGGATGAGGCAGTGCAGGAGAGCAGCCTTCCACAAGGGATCGCAGATGCAGACGCTGCCTGGCGATCTGATGCTCTGAGAGCGCTGAAGGAAGACGATGAGGGGGATGAGAGAGATGAGGGAGATGAGGGAGATGAGGAATATGAAGAGGAGGAAGAGAGTGAGGAGGAGATTGAGGAGGAGGAGGAAGGGGCAGAGAGGGGGGAAAGGGGGATGGGGCAGGAGGAGAGGGCGTCGTTGGGATGGAGACAGGGAGAAGAGAGCGAGGGGAAAGGGGCAGATGAGGGGGTGAGCGATGAGGAGGTGGTGGTGGCGAGTTTTGAGGCGCCTCAAGGATCGAGACAGGGAGAAGAGAGCGAGGGGAAAGGGGCAGATGAGGGGATGAGCGATGAGGAGGTGGTGGTGGCGAGTGATGCGGCTTTTCTGCTGGCTGTGATGGCTGCTACAGGATTCGCAGGGGAGGTTTACCCGAGGAATGAAACCCTGGTGAGTGAGTGAGTGAGTGAGTGGGTGAGCGAGCGAGCGAGTGAGAGAGTGATTGAGTGAGTGAGTTTGAGTGAGAGTGTTTGAGTGAGTGAAGGTGTGCATTTTATGTCTCTTCCCAGAAGCAGTGAATCCACAGAGAGACATCATTCTTCCCACTCAACTCCTCTTACCCCTTCTTCTTATCCGTTCCTCGCATCCACCCTCCCATGCCTTTATCTCTTCAGGCGTTGCACTACCTGCGTCTGGCAGCAGAGACCGGCTCCATAAAGGCAGGGAGAGAACTCACAATCAAGCAGACACCACTTTTCCACTTAACTCGACCGTCGAATCTTCCTCCTCTCATCCCCCTTCCCCTGTCTTGATCCCGTCAGGTGCAACACTACCTGTGTCTGGCAGGAAAGATGGGCTCCATGCAGGCAGGGAGAGAACCCACCGACATACAGACGCCACCCCTTCCCTCCTTCCACTCAACTCAACTTTTACCTTTCCCTCCTCTCATCCACCCTCCCGCATCTTTATCCCTTCAGGCGCTGAGCTATCCGCGACTGGCAGCAGAGACCGGTTCCATGCAGGCCGGGAGAAAACACACAGACAGACAGACACCACTCCTTCCACTCAACTCATGCAACCCCTTCCTTTCCTCCCTTTCTATCATCCGCCCCTTCCTTTTATCCACCTGCCTACTCCTTTATCCCATAGGCGCTGCACTACCTCCAACTGGCAGCGGAGACCGGCTCCATGCAGGCCATGGCTGCACTCGCCAGCCGCTTCCTCTATGTGAGTTATTCAGCCAGCCACAATTGTCCTCTATATAAGCTGGTTTGTTACAGAGACTATGAGACTTCCAGGCTCCATGCAGGCCATGGCTGCCCTCGCCAGCCGCTTCCTTTACATGAGTTGGCTATGTGCTGTCCGTCCTCGTTATAAGCTGATATGTTGCTGGGATGATGAAGCTCCTGGGCTCCATGCAGGCCATGGCTGCACTCGCTAACCGCTTCCTCTATGTGAGTCGCCCAAATTCTGTCCTCTATATAAGCTGTTTTTTCACAGAGATGATGAAACTCCCAGGTTTCATGCAGGCCATGGCTGCACTCGCTAGCCGCTTCCTCTATGTCTGTGCTCACTGTGTTCGATGTGGTCACTGTATTCACTGTACTCGTTATAAGCTGATGTGATGAGTTGAGAGGGGATGAAGCGAACAGGTCAGGCCATGGCTGCACTCGCCAGCCGCTTCCTCTATGTGAATGAGCTGCTCACCGTGGCCTTTGTACTCGTTATAAGCTGAGTTGAGGGGGATGAAGCGAACAGGTTCCACGCAGGCCATGGCTGCACTTGCCAACCACTTCCTCTATGTGAGTCAGCTACGCACTGTTCGTCCTCTTTATAAGCTGATGTGTTAAATGGATGATGTAGCTCACAGGCTCCATGCAGGCCATAGCAGTGCTCACCAGCCACTTCCTCTATGTGAGTGCTCGTGGTGCTCACTGTACTCGTTATGACAAATGTGATGCATTAGCGAGGTGGAGCTTATAGGCTCCCTGGCAGGCCATGACAAACACCCGCCAAATGATTCCTCTCTGTGCAAATTGATTTGTCGTTTTTATGTAAGCAGAGTCGTTATCCTCCTTGTAGGCTGATCTGTCATGCACGTCACCACTACAAGTAGTTCTTAACTCTGGATTAGTAGCCTGCGTCAGCCCGTGATGTGTCACATATAAGATACTGGCAGTTCAGATTGGTACAAACTTGCAAACTTGCAGCCACAAAGTGCAGGGTACTCTGCCAGCACTAAAGTACAGTACGGTGGGGTTCTGCCTTGAGCTTTCGTCCGTGTGTGTTCCCGTCCTCAATTGGCCTGTCATTCATTCGCTTCCTGTGCTTGAGGCACCTCAGAGGTTGACTTTAGCAGGCTTCATGCGTGCACGCAAGAATAGGAGCAAGTTTTCTTCTTCACCCCTTCACTCTCCCTTTCCTCTGCTCGCCTCGTTGCTTCCACGGTTCGGGGTGCCTTGTGAGACAGTACCGGGGCAGACCACATTACACTCATTCTTACCCCCTCCCACCACTTTTAACCACTCTCTCTCGTGCAGGGCCGTGGAGTTCCCACGGACTGTGAGGCATCACTCGCCTACTATCGCAGCACAGCAGCAGACCTGTCAGCAGCAGCAGAAGCTTCAGGCGACCAGCAGCTGCCCAGGGACCCCGTGCGTCTGAGGGACTGGTTCCGCGACGGGGGGTTCCAGCCTCAAGCATTTGACGATGACCATGCGGAGCAGGTGAGTGACAGCCCGATTGTGCTTTGCTCTGTCTCCTTGGTGAAGTGCTGGAAATTATCAGCAGCAGCAGCAGAGGCGTGGGGCGACCAGCAGCTGCCCAAGGGCCCCGTGCGATTAAGGGACTGGTTCCGAGACGGGGGTTTCCAACCCCAAGCATTCGATGACGACCATGCGGAGCAGGTAAGTAGGGATGTTGCTTTGTTCGCCTAGTGCTAATGCAACAGCAGCAGACCTGTCACCTATCAGCAGCAGCAGAGGCGTCAGACGACCAGCAGCTGCCCAAGGACCCTGTGCATCTGAGGGACTGGTTCCGCGACGGGGGGTTCCAGCCCCAAGCATTTGACGATGACCATGCGGAGCAGGTGGGTGACAGCAGGTGAGTGACAGCAGGTGGGTGACAGCAGGTGGGTGACAGCAGGTGAGTGACAGCAGGTGGGTCAAGGGCGCCTGGTGCCCGAATGTGCGGTCCCTGCTCTGTTCCCCTGGTAATAGTGCAGCACTGCCCTGCTCTGTTCCCCTGGTAATAGTGCAGCACTGCCCTGCTCTGTTCCCCTGGTAATAGTGCAGCACTGCCCTGCTCTGTTCCCCTGGTAATAGTGCAGCACTGCCCTGCTCTGTTCCCCTGGTAATAGTGCAGCACTGCCCTGCTCTGTTCCCCTGGTAATAGTGCAGCACTGCCCTGCTCTGTTCCCCTGGTAATAGTGCAGCACTGCCCTGCTCTGTTCCCCTGGTAATAGTGCAGCACTGCCCTGCTCTGTTCCCCTGGTAATAGTGCAGCAGCACGAGGTGAGTGAAGCTGGTGGTTTGTTCTCAGTGGCATCACAGTGATTTGTTCACCTATCGCTAGTGCGGCAGCAGCAGAGGCAGAGGCATGTGCTATGGGGTCCCAGCCCCATGCGCTTCCCAATGGCAATGCAGAACGGGTGAGTGAGTAGCTCTTGCAGCTCTTACTTGTTGCCCTCGTAATCGTGCAGCAGCAGCAGCAGCAGCAGCAGCAGCAGCAGCAGCAGCAGCAGCAGCAGCAGCAGCAGCAGCAGCAGCAGCAGCAGCAGCAGCAGCAGCAGCAGCAGCAGCAGCAGCAGCAGCAGCAGCAGCAGCAGCAGCAGCAGCAGCAGCAGCAGCAGCAGCAGCAGCAGCAGCAGCAGCAGCAGCAGCAGCAGCAGCAGCAGCAGCAGCAGCAGCAGCAGCAGCAGCAGAGGCAGATGCGTGAGGCGGTTAGCAGCTGCAAGGGAGGGGCCGCCGGGGCGGTTGGTCCAAGAGAATGGTTCCGTGATGGGGGTTTCCTTCTTTCCGGCCCGATGGGGGTTTCCTTCTTTCCGGCCCGATGGGGGTTTCCTTCTTTCCGGCCCGATGGGGGTTTCCTTCTTTCCGGCCCGATGGGGGTTTCCTTCTTTCCGGCCCGATGGGGGCCGTTTGACGGTGACAAATCCAGGTGGAGTTTGAACAGGACCTGACAGACTTCGCTTTTTAAGTCACCTTACCCCTCCTTACGCCTTTCTTACCCCTCCTTACACCTTTCTTACCCCCTCCTTACGCCTTTCTTACCCCTCCTTACGCCTTTCTTATCCCTCCTTGCGCCTTTCTTACCCCTCCTTGCGCCTTTCTTACCCCTCCTTACGCCTTTCTTACCCCGCATCACGCCTTTCTTACCCCCCTCCTCCCCTATCCCTATTCCCCTCCTCCCCGCCTCACCCTCTGCCTGCCCTAACCAGGTGGAGTTTGAACAAGACCTGGCTGAGAGGGGGGTACCGGAGTCCCTTCGACTAATGGGATTCCGCCACCTCATCGGCCAGGGCATCCCCCGCAACCCCCAGGAAGCCCTGCGCCACTTCCGTTTGGCCGCTGCTGCTGGTGATGACGTGGCAGCCTTCAACCTCGGCTACATGCACATGACCGGGGCAGGCGGGGCAGTTCCGAAAAACTTCACCGCTGCCCGAAAATATTTTCTGCAGGCGGCGTCGGGCAGGAACAAACTTGCAGCTGCCCAGAACGGGATGGGGGTCCTGTATCAAAACGGGTGGGGGGTGAAGCAAGACTTGAACCTCGCACGTGAATTCTTCCTGAAAGCAGCAGAGAGAAACGACTCGGACGCTCTATCGAACTTAGGGTATATTCACTTCGACGGGCTGGGTGTACCTGCGAATGCGACCACAGCGGTGGGTTATTTCGAGAGGGCCATGGATGCAGGGCAGTGGAGTGCTCCCTATACTCTGGCTCGGATTCTTGACGGATCGTTGGTTTCTGCTTCTACTGCTTACTCTGCTGCTGATGGTGCTGCTGATTCTGCCGCTGCTACAGTTCCCCGGAACTGTTCCCGGGCGGCGAAGCTGTACGGCATTTTTGTCTCGGAGCGCATTGGGTGGGCGGCGGAGCTGAAGGAGGCTGCGGCGGCGTACGAGGATGGGGACTGGTGGAGCGGTTTGGTGCGGTACGGAATGGTGGCGGAGGAGGGGAGCAAAGTTGCAGCAGAGAACGCTGCCCAGATGCTGATGCGCGGACAGGGGTACTCAGGTGGGTGAGATTGTGTGGGGCAGGGTGGGGTGTGGTGGGATGGGGTGGGATGACTGGGGGATATGGATGAGTGGGTTGGGAGGGTTGGGTGCAGTGGGATGGTTGAGCAGGATGAATAGGTAGGGTTGTGGATTGTATGCCTTGGATCCACCAATGACTGGCACTAGGCCATGCTTTGTGGCCATGCCATGAGGCCATTGCCAACCCTTCATTCATCTCTCATGTGAAACCTTCTTCTTGTTCTCCCCTCTCCTCCAGCCTCCGATCGCTATGCTGTAGCATTGGACCATGTGACGAGGGCGGTGCACATCGGGTCGGCACCAGCCATGGTGGATGCGGCTCTGCTCATGCTCATCCACCACCTACCGTCGTTAGCGCCACTCCCATCGCCACCACCTCTCTCTGCTGTTGATCCACACCTTTCCACACAGTCAATCCCAGCCCTTGATCCGCACCATCCTGCACAGTCACTCCCAGCCGTCGATCCACACCACCCTGCACAGTCACTCCCAGCCGTTGATCAGAACTCCACAGAAGCACAGCCGGTTACAGGTGCTGCTGACCCGCTCCCCTGCGACCCGCTGTCTCTGCTGCAGCGGGCAGCAGACCTGCACGAGCCAGAGGCTCTCTTCCACCTCGCCTACCTCCATATAGTGGGCCTTGATAACAGCACACAAGGGTACAGTGCAGGCTCAGTTCCTTGGAGCAGCAGCAGCAGCATTAGCAGCAGCAGTAGCAGCACCAGCAGCACAAACAGTACCGGTGACAGCAGCAGCAGCGGTGGCGGCAGCAGCAGCAGCAACGCCACTGTTACCATCATGGTCCCGGTGAATCTAACCAAAGCACACGAGCTGCTCTCTTCAGCGCTGCTCTACTGCCACAACGACGAGGCTCTCCCCATCTCCCTCGCCCTCCACTCCCTCTCCCTCCTCCGCCCCCTCCCCCCATCCCTGCGCTCTGTCCTCCTCTCCCTCCTCCCTCGTTACACCGCCTCTGCATCTTCTGGATCTGGTGCGGTGTCGTTCGTAGGAGCGGCTGTGTCAGCGCTGAGTCATGCTGCGTCAGCGGTGATGCAGTCCATGTCAGCAGCCTCGCAGTGGTGGCTGGATTTCGAGGACTATTTGTTTGGGGAGCTGGAAAACCTGCTTTTCCCTGAGGATGGCAACAGCTATGGTAGCAGCATGAGCGAGACTAGTGGCAGCAGCAGGAGCAGCAGTAGGAGCGCCGGCAGCGGTGGCGGCGGCAGCGGTGGCGGCAGCAGCAGCAGCAGCAAGGGCAGCAGGGTGTGGCAGGAGTTAGGGGAGTGGGACACGGTAGTGGTGATGGTGCTGTTGGGTATGCTCTCAGTGCTCTGGTGGTTCCGAACCACCACTGCTGCTGCCCATGCCGCCATTACTGATGCTGATGCTGCCATTGCTGATGCTCATGCTGCTGATGCTGAAGCGGATGCTGGTGCTGGTACTGCTGCTGCAGTCGCGGACACAGAAGCTGCTGCTCATGCTGTTGGTGGTGATGCTGATGCTGCCGGTGCTAACGCTGACGCTGCTGCCACCAGTGCCAGTGCTGCCGCTGCCAATGCTGCTGCTGATGGTGGAGTGGAATCTCTGGATGCTCTAGGTGGTGGGGGCGAGAGACAGGAGAGGAACGAGAGGAACGAGAGGGACGAGAGGGACGAGAGGGACGAGAGGAACGAGAGGGACGAGAGGAACGAGAGGAACGAGAGGGACGAGAGGGACGAGAGGAACGAGAGGGACGAGAGGAACGAGAGGGACGAGAGGCATGGGGAAGGTAGGGGTAATGGGGAAGGCGGGAGGGATGGGCATGGAGATGGGGATGGAGATGAGGATGGGGACGGGGATGGGGACGGGGACGGGGATGAGGAGGCTTCGTCCGCGAGTGGTGGTGAGACAAGTGGTGGGCCGGGTGTTGGGTTGCGGCAACGACAAGTGCAGCAGAGGGAGGGGGGGGATACTCCCAACTAGTGACTACATTATCTAAAAATGCGATACCAGAGAGCTTAGTGTAGAAGTTGGAGATGTGAATGCCACAGGATTCTATCATTCCATGCCATTGGTTGTCTAGCTCCCCAACTTGGTTTCTTCATCTGAGTGATGTCCTGCTCCCACGAATTGATGGGTTACGTGCTGACTGTCTTTGCAATAGAACTGTGGAAACGTACGATGTGCGCTATATAAGCGGAAGTTATACTTTTCTGTATCCGCGAGTATCGCGTCCATTTTCAGCGAAGCCATTTTCACGATCACCGATCCCCACCCCACTCAAATTGCCTGTGAACCACATACTGGTATGATTAGGGCGCGTAACCATTTTGCACCCGACGGTTCGAACTGCGGACGGTCCGTCGTGGCGAAATGTAACTTGCTTCGTTGATTCTCGTTTAGATCTTCGCGGAGGTGTTGGCGACGTCGCCAACCTAACGGACTGTCGTGACACTTTTTCACATTTCCAACACTCCGCTTTGTGAACCGTGGACTGTCCGAAACCCAAACGGACGGTCCACCATTTCTGGCTAGGTATTGGTGGGCGAATTTTAATGTACAGTAAATCATAACGATTCGCCAACGACGCTAATACCGAAAATGTCGCGAGATAAATTACGAAGATACAAGGCCTCTAACGAGGCTACAGTGGTCGCAAAAGTCAACAGCCCCAAAAAAGTGTCACATTAGCCTTCGGACAGTCCGAAGTTGCAAAATTTTGATTCGGACGGTCCCGTTCTCGAGAATAGAACCGTCCGCTTCGTTCTAAGCGGACTGTCCGTCGAAAACGTAAAATGCAAAATGGTTACGCGCCCTTACTTCCGATCAATAGCTTCTGCAGCAACTATTTGGACTGGCGGAATCCGAAATTTGGATTTGATTGGCGGAGAATAGAACAAGATAAAAGCGCTACGACTGTCGCCCCCCTTGATTCGCAGCAGCACGTCGTCCGTCGCAGGTATGGTCGCAGTCGCAGTCGCAGCGAGCGACATCGCATGGCTGCTCCTGGTCGGCGCGGTCTGGGGAATCACGAATCCGCTCATCAAGCGCGGCGCCGCGATGTCGAAGCGGCACATCAAAGCGGACGAATCCGCCGCAGCTGCCGGCAAAACTGCCGGAATGGAAGCTTCCATGTCGTTTTCTCAGAGATTGGACTTCAGATTCAGGAGATTCGTCCACGTGGTTACTCGTGATTGGCAGGTTGGTCGACGGGAGGGAGTACGTAGAAGGCTAGGTTCCGAGAGATGTTAGCGGCCTTACTTGGAAGCTCCAGCCATAGTACGTGATCAAAGCGTGGTGTGGGCTCGTGTTTCAATGGAGACTCAGAAACGTGAGGCCGACAGAGTACTTTGAGTGGGCTGCTTGACAGACATGCCTGGCGGGAATGTAGACGTTTCCGGCGTCCCCGTTTCCCAACCTCCCTCCCTTGCCATCGTCCCTGCGAAATGTAGCCATTTGACGATGGGCGCACTCACCTCCCTGCGCACTCACCTCCCTGCGCACTCACCTCCCTGCGCACTCACCTCCCTGCGCACTCACCTCCCTGCGCACTCACCTCCCTGCGCACTTGACGATGTAGCCATTTGACGATGGGCGCACTCACCTCCCCTCCTCGCTATCGTCCCCGTCCCTTTCCTTCCGCCATGTCTTTTTCCATTATAGTCGAACGGGACACTATCTCCCTCCCATCTCCCGTTCCCCTGGATCGTTTCCAGCGTCGCCGTCATCCCTCCTCCCTCCCTTGCCTGGCAGATTCCATTCCAGGCACTTGATGGGCTCAGTTCCCTCCTCGCCATCGTCCCGGCAAGCGAGATGCCCCTTCCTCCCCCCTCCTCCCCCTTCCCCCCCTTCCTCCCCCTTCCTCCCCCTTCCTCCCCCTTCCTCCCCCTTCCTCCCCCTTCCTCCCCCTTCCTCCCCCTTCCTCCCCCTTCCTCCCCCTTCCTCCCCCTTCCTCCCCCTTCCTCCCCCTTCCTCCCCCTTCCTCCCCCTTCCTCCCCCTTCCTCCCCCTTCCTCCCCCTTCCTCCCCCTTCCTCCCCCTTCCTCCCCCTTCCTCCCCCTCCTCCCCCCTCCTCCCCCCTCCTCCCCCCTCCTCCCCCCTCCGCCCCCCACCTCCGTCAGTACAACACACGCATCTGTGCTTCCAACCTCTCCGGTTCACTCTCTTCTTCCACGTGGGTGCCCTGAGAGCCACCCACGTCTATCCCAGCCCAGTCAGCAACAACCACGGCCTTCCCTCTCTGCACTCCCCATCCCCACAGTGCTACACGGCTCTGTGCCTCAACGTGTCGGCTTTACTCCCTTGCTTCCTCACCCAAAGGGGCGTGCACGCCTCTCCCATTCAGCAAAGGCCAATGTCTTACCTCTTTCCCCTTCCCCCTCCCCCCTTTCCGCTCTCCCCCACAGTACTACACGCCTCTGTGCCTCAACCTCTCCGGCTCGCTGCTATTCTTCCTCACGCTGAGAGGCATGCACGTCTCTCCCAATCAGCAAGGACCACCGCCTTCCCCCTTCCCCCCCCCCCCCCCCCCCCCCTTTCCCTCCCCCCCCACCCCCACAGTACTACGTGCCTCTGTGCCTCAACCTCTCGGGTTTGGTTCTCTTCTTCCTCACACTGAGGGGCGTGCACATCTCTGTGGCAGTGCCTGTCAGCAACCTCTGCAGCCTCCCACCCTCAGTTCCTCTCTTCAATATACCCACTTCTGCACACCCCCCACCCACCCCCCCTCCCCCTCCCTTCTCCCGCCTTCCCAGTACTACGTGCCGCTGTGCCTCAACCTCTCGGGTTTGGTCCTTTTTCCTCACCCTGAGGGGCGTGCACGTCTCTGTGGTAGTGCCATGCCAGTCAACAACCCTCAGTTTCCTCCTCAGTTTAACTACCATTTCATCCCCCAACTCAACCCTCCATCCCCCACAGTACTACGTGCCGCTGTGCCTCAACCTCTCGGGTTCGGTCCTTTTTTCCTCACACCGAGGGGCGTGCACGTCTCTGTGGCAGGCCCAGTCAGCAACCTCTGCAGCCTCCCACCCTCAGTTCCTCTCTTCAATATACCCACTTCTGCACACCCCCCACCCTCCTCCCTTCTCCCCCCTTCCCGGTACTACGTGCCGCTGTGCCTCAACCTCTCGGGTTCGGTGCTCTATTTCCCCACCCTGAGGGGCGTGCATGTCTCTGTGGCCGTGCCATGCCAGTCAACAACCCTCAGTTTCCTCCTCAGTATAACTACCAATTCATTCCCCAACTCAACTCTCCATCCCCCAATTCATCCCCCAACTCAACTCTCCATCCCCCACAGTACTACGTGCCGCTGTGCCTCAACCTCTCGGGTTCGGTCCTTTTTTCCTCACACTGAGGGGCGTGCACGTCTCTGTGGCAGGCCCAGTCAGCAACCTCTGCAGCCTCCCACCCTCAGTTCCTCCCTTCATTATACCCACTTCTGCACACCCCCCACCCACCCACCCCCCCCTCCCTTCACCCCCCTTCCCAGTACTACGTGCCGCTGTGCCTCAACCTTTCGGGTTCGGTCCTCTTTTTCCTCACACTGAGGGGCGTGCATGTCTCTGTCGCTGTGCCAGTCAGCAACGGTGCCACCTTTGCCTTCAACGCAGCAGCAGGCTATGCGTTCGGGGAGAAAATACAGCCAGCGTTGGCATTAGGGGGTGTATCGTTGGCTGTACTTGGAATTGCGTTGTGTGTATAGCGAGTTACTATGTGCACATGTGTTTGCACGATGCTGGGGTGCTTGCGTCGAGGTTTGGAAATAACCAAATTGTGGGAAGGGGCCACGGTTACCAGCCTGCTTCGATGCGGGGCACGAATCTAACAACGAGCAGATAGTGCAATGTGCTAACGGGAAGTGCATAAGTTAGTATTGCTGTACAAGGGTATGAAGGATGATGTTGAGAAAGCAAAAGGGGGAATATTTACAAGAGTAGAGAGGAAATGAAACCGTATAGGGGGTGTCTAGCCTGGTTGAATCTCAGGTCTTTTAAAAACGGTTTAAAAAGTTGTTGCAATATTTAGAGAGGTTTGTTACCATCACCGCATTGAATCTCTACTTACCTGTGTGCACACAACCTACTACCGATCCAGTTTTCCATTTTACAGAAACAACTTTGTTTCGTTATACGACTGCGGTTCGGTTCCGACACACAGTATTTCCCGCCAGAAAGCAGACACAAAGGGCCCCAAAAATGACCATTATTCGCTAGTTTTGAGATTCGCGAAGAAAGTCTCTGGGATTTGGTCTGTGAGTTGGTCAGTCGGTCGGGAACCCCCTCGCCAGCGCTCCCCTCATAAGCTTGCTTCGGAGTCTCCAGCTCACCACCATTTAGGTGGCTCACTTATGTCGGGAGTGCAGAGCTACCTCATTCTTTCATTGTTTCGCGATTAATCGCATACCAAGATTCATGTTGGGAGTAGCAGCAAACTTTAATCGCATACCGTGACGCTTTGCGAATATTGTTTGCAGTAGTGGTAGGTACGCAACAGCTCATCCACTCATATTCATGCGGGTTCGGCTCTCGGCCGTATAACATTCGATTTTTATGTTCTGGTAGTATTCATAACGCAGCTACCATACTTAGGATCCACTGACAACAGGAAACTCTCGTTAACTTATTCATCCACCCTGTATCGCCACCATAGCCACGCCGACGGCGCAATGCAGAGCGCGAAGCACAGAGTGACTCACCGCAGCGACGCCGCGGAAGGCCAGGGCGACGAGGCCGTTCTCTTGCCCGCGCTCGCACCCTTTAATACCCGCAGCAAGCTCACCGATTCCCCAGCCCCCAGCAGCCCGCAACTCAAGGCCGCGCGCTCCGCTAATGGCTCGAAAATCGCCGCTTGCCTCTCCCTCGCGTGGGCCATTCTCGCCACCATAGTCGCTGCGGTCTCGATCTCGTTACACGTGGCGGAACCTCCACCGTGGATCTTGGTTGCCTTGCAATTGACGCCGTCGAATCCCGGATCGACGGCTGACGTGCGGAATTGTAGCGACTGGATCTCGAAGCCAGCGGCAACGGTCGGTGCTGAAGACCCGTGGGAAGCAACCAAGGTGGGACGGCTAGATATGCACCCGCGCTTTCGATGGCACCAGCACCTACGAACAATTCGCTTACCTAGTAGTTCTTCTCGCCTCGAATCAATCTGGCGTGCCGCCACTGCGCCGCGCGTTTCCCCCTGCATTTCCCCTCCTCTCACCCCCTCCCCCCCGCAGTGGATACCGCGCGTGTCGCCGTGTCCAGTAGCGGGGCTGCCTATAGAGGAGCTGGACGAGCACCTCAACTTCCGCCACGAATTTCCCCCTGCATTCTCCCTTCCCCCCTCCCCCCTCCGCAGTGGATACCGCGCATGTCGCCATGTCCAGTAGCGGGGCTGCCTATAGAGGAGCTGGACGAGCACCTCAACTTCCGCCGCGGGTACTCGCTGGGCTTCGTGGACGACGCGGAGGACAAGACGCACATCCTGCCCGTGCTGCGAGCTGTGCTGGACCCTGCCATGCACGCCAGGTGAGTGCGTGAGTGAGTGAGTGAGCGCGTGAGTGAGTGAGTGAGTGCGTGAGTGAGTGAGTGCGTGAGTGAGTGAGTGAGTGCTGCCTGCTTGGTTCCACTGACGCCAGGTGTCGTCCTTCTCACGACAGCGCTCTCCCCCATGCTTGCTATCCCAGGAAGAGGCGCAGGGGCTCGGTTCTTCAACACGAGCATCACGTGGTTCCTGCAGTCGTACCCGCTCGACTTCACGGAGGTCCCCCTTGCCCGCTGCTCCCAATGCCCGCTGCTCCCCATGCCCGCTGCTCCCCATGCCTGCTATCCCACCCTTGCCCGCTGCTCCCCATTGTCAGAACTTAGGCTTAGAACTGATACATTAGTAATGAGCTTGAAGCTCTTTAAGTACATCCAAGAAGGGTAGGAAAAGGATGGGGAAGGGAATCGGGGGCAATCTCTAGGGATTGGGGGTAATCCCAAGGCAATCTCCAATTGGTGGGTTGGAGATTGGTTGGAGATTACATTTGGGTTTGGTTGGGATGTAGGTGTACACCCAACCAAACACAATGTGCAAACTACACTACTCTAGGATATAGAAAATACAAAGTACAAATTGTGAGATTGAAGACCAACACTAACACCCCCCCATAGGCGTCAATCGAACTCAGGGTAGAGAGGGTGGAGCACAGAGCCCCATGGCGCCAAGGAGACGGTGGTGGGGAACTTTCCCAAGGGGCTTGGTGAACAGATCAGCCAGGTTGCAGTCAGATGCAACGTATTCCACTTTCAACTGCTCTTGTTTGTTAAGGTCACGGATGAAGAAGTGCCGGAGTTCAATGTGCTTGGTGCGGGTGTGATACACAGGGTCTTGAGAGATGTGGATGGTACTCTGGTTGTCACACCAGAGGGTGGGGGCGGACTGTGGGAAACCAAGCTCCTGGAGTAGGAAGGTGAGCCAACGGGCCTCCTGAGCAGCCATGGTGCCAGCGTAGAGCTCTGCCTCACAGGAGGAGAGGGAGACTGCAGACGACCTGGTGGAGCGCCAACTGACAATTCCGCTCCCAAGGGTGAAGCAGTACCCCTGAGAGGAGCGTCGGTCGGTCTGGTCATCAGCCCAGGAGGAGTCGGTGTAACCTTCCAGGCGAGGAGGGGAGAGCCCACCGAGTGTGAGGACGTGAGACTTGGTGCCCTGAAGATAGCGCAGCACCCGCTTGGCTGCCTTCCAGTGAAGATCAGTGAAGCGTCCAGGGGCCACGTAGCGAGAGAGGACACTGACAGGATAGGTCAGGTCCGGTCGGGTGCACATCATGGCGTACATGAGGGACCCAACAAGCTCCGGGTATGGCTCAGAGCAGGCCTCTGGTGTGGGTAAAGCTGGAGCTGTGAGGAGGTGTTGCAGCGGCAGCGGGGTGGCAACAGGTGTGCACAGCTCCATCTCAAACCGCTTGAGCACATTGTCGATGTAGAACTCCTGGGAGAGTGAAATGGTGCGAGCCTTGCGATCACGAGTGATCTCCATCCCAGGTAGTGCTTGAGGTCACTGAGGTCTTTCATCTGGAGAGCCTTGCTTAGGGCTGCCTGGACTGAGGTCATCTGAGCCGAGTCCTTGGCAACGAGGATGAAATCATCCACGTAGACTAGGATGTAGAAGGGCTCAGAATGACGGCGGATGAAGAGAGTCGGGTCAGCAGTTGAAGGGTGGAAGTCCAGGGAGAAGAGGACTTCTTTCACCTTGTTGTGCCATTCGCGAGGGGCTTGCTTAAGGCCGTAGACGGGGCGATTCAGCTTCCAGACAGTGTTGGGAGGGAATTCTCCTGGGAAGCCTTCTGGTCTGTCCATGAACACTGTCTCCTTGAGACGTCCTTGTAGGAAGGCGGATGAGGCATCCATGGATTTGATCTCAAAGTCTTCTCGAGCTGCGACATCCATGAGCGTACGAATGGTGGGAGGTTTGGATGTGGGGGAGAAGGTTAGGAAGAAGTCGCGGTACTGCTGCTGGGTGAAGCCCTTGGCTACGTAACGCGCTTTGAACACCGGTGCCTCGTCTGGGAGCTGTTTTACACGGAACAACCACTTGCCCCCGACGATGTTGACTCCTGGAGGTGGAGTCTCGTCGTCGAAGGAGTGGTTGCGGGTGAATGCTGCAATCTCCGCGTCCATGGCAGCACGCCATTCGGCAGCATGAGGGCCTGAGAGAGCCTCTTGGACGGTGAGAGGGATAGGGATGGTCGGGTTCTCCGCGAAGTTGAGGGAGGGTGAGCCAGTGATGTCGGGGAAGATGCGTGAGAGCTGAGGAATGACTGCATGGAGATCACACAACTCCTCATGCCTGTCTTCTAGAAGGGTAGAGGGCACATCCCCCCCAGCAGGAGGAGGCGGTGTGATCGCTGTGTATCGAAGAACCATCGCGAGTGGAAGAGCAGCGCGATGTGAGCGAGTGCCATGAGCCACCGGAGAAGAGGGTGGGGCAGGCGGTGTCGGAGAGGGTGACTTAGGAGGCTTGGGCGGGGGAATGGGCCGCCGGCGGTACGTGATCAGCTCGGGCGACTGTGGGAGAGCGGGTTCCTCTGTGGTGGGGGGAACCGGGGGAGGAGGTGGGGCCGGAGGGTGGGACCGCCGATGGTAGGTGATAGGTGCGCTCGGAGGGGGCGGCGCAGCGGGAAGTGGGGAAGGTGAGGGGGAGGGAGGAGCGGCTGTCGAAGACACCGGTGAGGCCGGGTCAGAGACCTCAGAGGGAGATGGTGCGATGGCAGGAGAGGGAGGAGGTGAGGGGGTAGGAGCAGGCGGGAGGTCGGGAGGCGCATCAAAGTCTGCCCACACGAGGGAGGGTGGATCAGGGAGAGGGTACCGTCCCGAAGGGGAGTAGAATGGGCGGGTCTCATCAAAGACAACGTCGCGGCTCTTGACCAACTGTTGAGTGGAGGGATTGAGGAAGAGGTAGTCAGGTGAGTCGGCGTTGTGCCCGAGGTAGATGCACGTCTGAGTCTTGGGACCGAGCTTGCCACCGTTCTGCCGTCGAGCCTGAGGGTTGAGGAGGACATAGGCGGTGCATCCCCAAACGCGAAGAGAGCGAGCAGTGGGCGTTTTCCCGAGCCAGAGTGTGGTTGGAGTGGTGTCGGGAAGGTGCGGGTGGGGGTAAAGGTTGTAGAGGAGGGCGGCGTGGTAGAGAGCGTACCCCCAGAGAGAGTGTGGAGCGTTGGAGTGGCTGAGGAGGCACCGAGTGATCTGCACCAGGGTGTGGTTGCGGCTCTCAGCTATGCCGTTCTGTTGAGGGCTGTCAGGGAGGGTGAAGTTTTGCTGGATGCCTTCGGAGGAGCAGAAGGCTTTGAGCTTGTCGTTGCAAAATTCACCCCCCCCATCCGAGTGAAGGCGCTTGACCTTGCGGTCAAAGGTGGTCTGTGCCTGCTTGACCCACGCCATGATGACCTCTGGAGCCTCAGCCTTAGTGTGGAGGAGGTGAACAGAGACGTAGCGGGAGTGGTCATCCACGAGAACAAGGAAGTAGCGATAGCCACCTCGTGCGAGAACAGGGGCAGGGCCCCAGACGTCCATGTGCACTAGGTCCAGTGGTGCCGCTGCGACTGTGGGTGAGGCAGTGTGGGGCTGTTGGCGCAGTTTGCTCTTGGTGCAATCAAGGCATGTGGGAGCGGGTGAGTCAGGTGGTGGAGGAAGTGTGGCAGGCAGGCCGAGAAGAAGTTTCTTGGAGGCCATGTCAGCAAGCGTGCGGAAGTTTGGGTGCCCTAACCGATGGTGATAGAGGATGGTCGGGTTGGAGAGGCTGCGACATGAGCATGGTGTGATGGGAGCCTGTGCTTGGGTGGTTGAAACCTGTGGGAGAGGTACGCGTAGCGTGTAGAGGCCGCTGCTATTGAGGGTGAAGCGGGCCAAGACCTTGTTGGTGAGTGGATCGATGATGTCGCAGTGGTCCTCATTTTCCGAGAATATGGTGCGTAGCCCTGCTTCCTGAATTTCTGTTTGAGCCACTAGATTGTGGCGTAGTGAAGGCACGCACCTGCCAGTGACGGTGCCGGAAGGGAAGGCGGGGCATGGGACTGTGGAGGTGCCCTTGGCCAGGGTGGTGAAGCTGGAGTCAGCTCCCAAGAGAGGGATAGGTGCTGAATAGGGTTTGAAGGAGAGTGTCTCCTTGAGCACAGTGTGAGTGGCCCCGCTGTCGAGTGTGAACTCTATGTATTGTGGTGCCTGTGATGAGTCGATGTACTGGGAAGTAGCTTCATTAATCATGGCAGTGCCAGGGAACAACAGGTTGATACGCACATCAGCAGGAGCACTATCACTAGCACTAGCCGAAGAGGGGTCCTGGACCTCAACGAGGTTGGCCTTACGAGGGCGCATCCAGTTTGGCGGCTTCTTGTCAACTCCATGGATGGCATACCACTCGTCGTCTTTTTTCTTGAAGCATGTAGCAAGGGGGTGGTTAGTGCAACCACACACTTGTCCCTTGCGGTTGCCATACTTGACGACGTAGGGGCACGGAGGAAAGCGGTTGCGCTGGAAAGGCGCCGAGGTGAGAGCCGCTGCAACACTTGTTGGGGGCATCGGAGCACGGATGGCGTACGCCTTGGCCTGAGCCGTGGAGTCTTTCTCGGCAAAGAGGAGTGCGGTGGAGACCTTAGCAAAAGTGAGGTCATCCGCTGAGAGCGTGAGGAGCATCTTCCTCGTGACTTCATATGCCGAGGTGAGACCAACAAGGAGGGCGGCTGCAGGGGCTTGTTCGGGGAAGACTATACCCAGCTCCTTGAGTTCACCATGAATGGTTTGCACCTTGGCGATGTAGTCGGCCATCCCTGAGCAGTCCTCAAGACGGACTTGAAACATGCTGGGGATGAGAATCGCCACTCCAACCGCCGTCTTGTTCATGAACCGATCCTGGAGATACTTCCAAATGGCGTTGGAGGTAGGGTAGTTGTGGAACGTGTTGACAAGTTCGGGAGGGGTGGAGGCGATGAAGACGCTGATGATGGCAGCATCGGCCTTCTCCCATTTCCGGTACTTCTCAGCAGCTTCCTCGTACGCCCTCACGTCAGCATCATTAGAAGATTCGGTCGGCTCTCGGGGGAGAGTAGGCTGTTTCCCCTTGCCACGGTTGAGGAGGGCGTCCTTGAGGTCCAATCCCTGCACGTCACGACTCAGGAGGTGCTTGTCAACCCCGTAGCTCCATGCCTTGAAGTTGGAGCTAGAGCCATCGGCTTCAAGGCGGAGTGGGGTGATGGGGTTGGCCATGGTGGAAGAGTAGAGAGCCATGATGAAGACCCCTTATCTTCTCGCGCGGAGCGCCGCTCTTAAGTCACCGATAAGAGCGCCACTCTTAAGTCACCGATACGAGCGGCGCGCAGCGCGGCGATTTCGAAATCCGACGGACCCGAAAGGCAAAAATCGTCAATGTCGGCCGCGTCGAATTGCCTCGTAGAAGAAATTTTCAGGCCGTCGAAATTACGTCGAATCGGCTGATTCTGGTAGAGCTAACCCTAATCCCACACACCCCCCCACACACCGCCCTCAGCTTCACGGCTACGCTGCTGCTCGGCTTCTCGGCTACACAACTACTCGGCTTCGCTGCTACGCTGCTGCACCTGTTCAGCTGCGGGAAAAGGGGGGATGGGGGTAGGAGTGCAGATGCGGGGCGACGGGCGGCAGCCCGAAGATGACGCTGCGGGGCGACGGGCGGCGGCCCGAAGATGACGCTGCGGGGCGACGGGCGGCGGCCCGACGAGAAGCTGCGGGGCGACGGGCGGCGGCCCGACGAGAAGCTGCAGGGCGACGGGCGGCAGCCCGACGAGAAGCTGCAGGACGACGGGCGGCGGCCCGACGAGGAGAAGAAGGGCGACGAAACCGTTCGACGAAAACGAGCGCGCACGACGAGAACGAGACATAGGTTATAGCGTCGATGATGCGCTTACCAGAAAGATTGTTGACGTCGTCGAAATTGACGGGAACGAGGTGCGGGAAGAATTCCGCCTTCGAATGTCGCGAATCACCGGCGACGAGATTGACGATGGCTACGCCGAGGTTTGCGGGACGAACATCCGCGAAGATAAGAGGATCACGATCCGCGTATGCGGTTGAAGGGCTCTGATACCATGTCAGAACTTAGGCTTAGAACTGATACATTAGTAATGAGGAAAAGGAAAAGGATGGGGAAGGGAATCGGGGGCAATCTCTAGGGATTGGGGGTAATCCCAAGACAATCTCCAATTGGTGGGTTGGAGATTGGTTGGAGATTACATTTGGGTTTGGTTGGGATGTAGGTGTACACCCAACCAAACACAATGTGCAAACTACACTACTCTAGGATATAGAAAATACAAAGTACAAATTGTGAGATTGAAGACCAACACTAACACCCATGCCTGCTATCCCACCCTTGCCCGCTGCTCCCCATGCCTGCTATCCCACCCTTGCCCGCTGCTCCCCAAGCCCGCTGCTCCTCATGCCCTGCTATCCCACCCTTGCCTGCTGTGCTGTCCCTCACACATGCTATCCCAGGAAGCGACGCGTCCTGATAGACCTGGGGGGGCGGTTCTTCAACTCGAGCGTCACATGGTTCCTGCAGTCGTACCCGCTCGACTTCACAGAAATTCATGCCGTGGAGGTGCGACAGGGCGTCTTTCAAGTGCCCGCGCCCAGCCATAAGGTGAGGGGGGAGGGGGTAAGGGGTGACGGGGAGTGCAGGGGTGTGCGTGCCGGTTTCTGCAAGGGTGTGTGTATGCGGGTGTGAGGGCAAGGGAGAGGGGCAAGGGAGAGGGTGCAATCGTACCCGCTGATATGGGATTCCACGACCCCGAACTCTAAAATCTCAAACCCGAAACCCTAGTATGAGATTCCAAGGCGCTATAGTGAAACCTTGAAACCCTGAACATGAAACTCAAAATCCGGAATTTGGAAGCCTAAACCGTAAATCTGAAATCTTGAACTCTTAGTCTGGAACCCAGAACCTGAAAGCATGTTGCATCGATGCCTGTTGCAAGTGCATGCTGCTTGCTTGGTGAGCGGGGCGAGGGGGTGAAACATGTTGAGTGGTGTGCTGTGTTGGCATGGCACCACTTCACACATGCCCCTCACACATGCCGCTTCCTCTTTCCACCCTCCCCTTTCCACCTTCCTCCCCTCCCTTTTCCCCTCTCCCTCTCTGTCCACCCTTCCGCCCTTCCGCCCTCATCAGACGCTACGTGCGAACATGAGCAATCGCAGTCGCCTGCGCGCACTCCACATGGGTCCGGCGGACTTCCCTCCATCCATGGTTGCTCGCCAGGGTGCACGCCCATCGCTTCATGGCCATCTTCCTCCCCTTCCCCTTCCCCTTCCCCTTCCCCTTCCCCTTCCCCTTCCCCTTCCCCTTCCCCTTCCCCTTCCCCTTCCCCTTCCCCATCCCCTTCCCCTTCCCCTTCCCCTTCCCCTTTCCTCTCTTCCCCCTTCCTCTCTTCCGCCCCCATCAGACCATACGCGCCAACATGAGTTATCGCAGTCGCCTGCGGCCACTCCACACAGGCCCGGCAGACTTCCCTCCTTGGCTGCTCGCCCGAGTGCACTCTCACCGCTTCATGGCCTCGGCTATTGACAACGCTGGGAAGGTGAGGGGAGCGCGTGGAGGGTAGGGGTGTGATGGAGGCTGGGATTGGAGTCGATCCAAACTACACCTACTCGCCCGGGTGCACGCCCACCGCTTCATGGCCTCTGCCAGCGACAATGCTGGGCAGGTGAGGGGGGGTTGCGTGGGAAGGGCTGGCGTGGGGGGTAAGACACGGGGTCCTGGCTGTAAGCCTGTGCAAGTATATTCGGTATTCGAGAATAATTCGATATTCGTTCGAATACCCGAATTCGAGAGAATAAGAAATGGCCGTGTATTCGAAAATATTTGCATCACGAGTATTCGTGGATGTAGAATATTCGGCTAATGGATATTCGGGGTATTTGTTACTATTCGGTATTCTACCATGAACACCCTCCCCACCTCCCCCCCTCCCCACATGCGGCTATCGTCTTTGGCAATCTGTCTACAAGAGGCCTCATGAGAACGGTGCTCAAAAGCCTAGCAGGATAGTTGCTGGAGCGGGATTAGGGAAGGTCTTGGTGCGGGATTGAGTCGTGGTGTTGATATTATAAGGTGCATTGTATCACCCTGTGTCGAACATGCATTAGCCGATCAACACTGGCTGTACAACATATATTATTACTCGACACTTATTCGAATTCGGCAGTAATCGAATCGTATTCGTATTCGGTTTTGGGTCAGTATTCGGTCACATAAGAAAACACCCAGTATTCGGACAATATACAGGAACAATATTCGTATTCGTATTCGTTTGTACAGGCTTACCTGGCTGAGGCGTGGTTGATTCCTCAAGTCATGGCAGCTGTTGTCATGACAGCACGTGACTGTTGCCATGGCAGCACGTGACTGTTGTCATGGCAGCACGTGACTGTTGTCATGACAGCACGTGACTGTTGTCATTGCAGCGCGTGACTGTTGTCATTGCAGCACGTGGCTGTTGTCATTGCAGCACGTGACTGTTGTCATTGCAGCACGTGGCTTCATTGCAGCACGTGACTGTTGCCATAGCAGCACGTGACTGTTGCCATTGCAGCACGTGACTGTTGCCATTGCAGCACGTGACTGTTGTCATTGCAGCACGTGCCTGTTGTCGTTGCAGCACGTGGCTGTTGTCATTGCAGCACGTGACTGTTGTCATTGCAGCACGTGACTGTTGCCATTGCAGCACGTGACTGTTGTCATTGCAGCACGTGGCTGTTGTCATGCAGTCCTCTTGCACCCCGCCCCCGTGAGACCTGTCAACCCCTCATCGTCGCAGGGCGTGGTGAACGTGACACAGTGGCTGCTGGAGGAGCCTTTTGACTCGACTCATAAGTCTCTCCCTCCGCTCCCCCTTACCCCTTGCTCTCCTCTCCTTTCAACCGCGCCAACCCATCAACCCCCCTCCGCAGAACATAGTGAACGTGACGCGGTGGCTGCTGGAGGAGCTGCAGCTGACGCCAGGGGAAGACACCGCTGACACCGCGTCACCAACTCCCTCTCCTGTCACCTTCCTGCTTCTCCTCTCCCTCCCTTTACTCTTGCGCCCCGCCCCCCGTCAACCTGTCGACCCCTCGCGGCAGGGTGTGGTTACTGTGACGCGGTGAGCTCACCCCCTGGCTCTCCTCTTCCCTTCTCCCCTCCCCATCAACCCCTCACGGCAGAACATAGTGAACGTGACGCGGTGGCTGCTGGAGGAGCTGCAGGTGACGCCAGAGGATACGGTGGTGGTGAAGATGGATATAGAGGGGTCCGAGTGGGACATCTTCCAAGGTGAGGGAGGGAAGCAGCTGAAGCATGTGAGAAATGTATGTGAGAATTGCATGTGAGGCACAGGGCAGAGGCGCACACCAGAGGGTGCAGGTGACGCCACAGGACACGGTGGTGGCGAAGATGGACATTGAAGGGTCTGAGTGGCCCATCTTTCATGGTGGGTGGGTGGGGCGCAGGGAGGAGGAGTAGGTGCGTGGCGCGTGTGAGGCACAGGGTAAAGGCACACACCAGAGCTGCAGCTGACGCCAGAGGACACGGTGGTGGTGGAGATGGATATAGAGGGGTCCGAGTGGGACATCTTCCAAGGTGGGAGGGTGGGGCGAGCATGTGGGGAGGGGCGAGCAGTGTGGGGTGGGGCGAGCAGTGTGGGGAGGGGCGAGCAGTGTGGGGAGGGGCGAGCAGTGTGGGGAGGGGCAGCCTGGCTGGAGTGTGTGTCACCCTAAACCCCTTTATGGCTCGCCATCATCCTCTCTCTCCATCTCCATTGCCCTTGCCTCACCCCTCTGTGCAGCCTGGCTGGAGTCCCCCCTCATGGCGCAAGTAATCGACGAGCTGTTTGTCGAGGTGCATTACAACCACCCCTCCGTGCACTTAATCTCTCTCATTTCCCTCTTAGAGGTGACTTTTGAGTTCTTTCCCTCTCAAAAGTCTTCTCCCATTTCTCTCTTCATTCCCCTTCTTCCTCATGTTCTTTGCTATGTGCAGCCTGGTTAGAGTCCCCTCTCATGGCACAAGTGATAGACGAGCTATTGGTGGAGGTGCATTACAACCACCCCTCCATGGCCTACTGCTTCCTCATTCCCCTCGCCATTCCCTTGCCTGCATCCCCCTGTCCTTGTACCGACTGTAGCCTGGCTGGCTGGAGTCTCCTCTCATGCCACGGGTGATAGACAAGCTGTTCGTGAAGGCGCACGGCAACCACCCCTTTATAGCCAACCACCCTCTGTCGCCCTCTCTGTTCCTCTGCCACCCCCCCGTCTCTATGTGCTATGTGCAGCGTGGCTGGAGCCCCCCCTCATGGCATGCACGAGTAATCGATGAGGCACTCGTGAAGGTGCATTACAACAACCACCCCTCCATGCACTTCTTCATCATCATTTCCCTCTCCCTTCCCTTGCTGTGGGGTGCAGCGTGGCTGGAGTTCCCCCTCATGGCACGCACGAGTAATCGATGAGCTGTTTGTCGAGGTGCATTACAATCACCACCCCTCCATGCCCAATCATCCTCCCCTCCCCGTTTCCCCTCCTCACCCACTGTTGCGTTCTCTCCTTGTGTTGCATACAGCCTGGTTGGAATCTCCTATCATGGCACAAGTAATCGACGAGCTATTCGTGAAGGTGCATTACAACCACCCCTCCCTCCATGCACTTCTTCTCCCTCATTTCCCTCTCCATTTCCTTGCCCTCACCACCCCTGTCTCTGTGTGTGTGGGGTGCAGCCTGGTTGGACTCTCCTCTCATGCCACGGGTGATAGACGAGCTGTTTGTGGAGGTGCATTACAACCACCCCTCCATGCACTTCTTCACATGGACGCCGCGCAACTTCCCGCACTCGCGGCAGCAAGCGGGTCAACTGCTCAACGCCATGCGCAGTGCTGGGTACTACGTGCACGCCTGGCCCTGATGGTGCTCTCATCTCATCCAAGGTGCCCTACAGCCACCTCCTTAGGCAGCAAGCAGGCCAGTTGCTCAACGCCATGCGCAGTGCTGGGTACTACGTGCACGCGTGGCCCTGACGGTCTTTCAATATTCAGACTAGGTGCATTTCAACCACCCCTCCATGGTCTACTCCTGGGATCCACACCTTGTTAGGCACGAAGCGGGCCAGCTGCTCAACGCCATGTGCAGTGCTGGGTACTACGTGCACGCCTGGCCATAACACCCCAACTACCATGTGACATGCCTGGCCGTAGCACCGTAGGATAGCTACCGTACCTTACATTGTTGGCCCTGGTGGTATTTTTATACGAGGTGCATTGCAACCACCCCTCTATGCACTTCTTCACCTGGAAGCCGCACATCTTCCCGCACTAGGCAGCAAGCAGGCCAGCGGCTCAATGCCATGCGCAGTGCTGGGTACTACGTGCACGCCTGGCCCTGATGGTGCTCTCATCTCATCCAAGGTGCCCTACAGCCACCTCCTTAGGCAGCAAGCGGGCCAGCGGCTCAACGCCATGCGCAGTGCAGGGTATTACGTGCACGCCTAGCCCTGATAGGGTAGTTACCATACCTTACACACTTTCCGCACTCGAGGCAGCAAGCGGGCCAGCTGCTCAACGCCATGCGCAGTGCAGGGTACTACGTGCATGCCTGGCCTTGATGGGGTAATCTGATAATATGCGAGTCCCTGGTGGAATTTACAGACTAGCAGAAGCAATAGAGCCCTAGCAATGGGGCCGTGGCAATGGAGCCCTAGCAGTGGGGCCCTAGCAATGGATCCCTAGCAGTGGGGCCGTGGCAGTGGGGCCGTGGCAGTGCAACCTTTGCAGCACGCAGCAACGTTTACCACGTGAGATGCGTGGAAGTGCAACCTTTGGAGAGGGCCCACCCCACGTGCTGTAGGTTTTGAGACATCTCAAAAGAGATGCGTGGATGGGTGGAGTGGAGAGGGCCTCCATGCGTACAACCACCCCTCCTGCACTTCTTCTCCTGGGAGCCGAGCCTCTTTGCACACTCAAGGAAGCGGGGCAACTGCTCAATGCTATGCGCAGTGCTGGATACTACGTGCATGCCTGGCCTTGATGCTGCATGCCTGGCCCTACTAGTGTGTTTATATGACATTCCTGGTCTTGGTGTTCTAGTTACCCTTCACGCGCAGCACTTATGGCCTCTGATGGTGTATTTAGTGTGCATTTTCTGATGTAGTGGTCCGTTTTGGCATTAATAGGCTGAGCTCGCTTATTTATTATAATGCATGCTTGGATGAGCTGCAGTGTGAAAACCACAAGCGTTTAGCTAGCTACCATGTCAGGGCGCAAACACCAGTGCTCTAGCAGCAGCAGAAGGAAAACACAAACAAATAACTGTACCTATTTCCATTTACCCTGCCAAAAACCGTCGGTAGCATAAAGCCCCCTCCGTGATCTACAGCAAGTTCCAGATATCTACAGCCCCCACTCTTTGGCACCGAAACGAATAGGTTACAACTGTTGTTCTGTTACGATGCTTATGCTTCTACGGCTCTATTGCTGCTGCTGCTGCTGCTGCCATTTCCTTCAGGCAGCAGAAACGAATTGTAAGCTGCTGCTATTGCTCCTGCTGCTGCCATTTCCACCATCCAGCAGACACCAGGTTGGCGAGGGAGTGAGCGAGCATGGCACTGGCCATGTCACCAGGGAGTGGTGCTGCTATTGCTGCTGCTACTGCAACCACTGCAACTATTGCTGCTGCTATTGCTGCTGCTGCTGCTGCTGCTGCCGTTGCTGCTGCTGCTGCTTCTGCTATTGCTGCTGCTGCTGCCGTTGCTGCTGCTGCTGCTGCTGCTGCTGCTGCTGCTATTGCTGCTGCTGCTGCCGTCGCTGCTGCTGCTGCTGCTGCTATTGCTGCTGCTGCTGCTGCTGCTGCTGCTGCTGCTGCTGCTGCTGCTGCCGTTGCTGCTGCTGCTGCTGCCATTTCCACCATCCAGCAGACACGAGGTTAGCGAGGGAGTGAGCGAGCATGGCACTGGCCATGTCACCCGTCGCCACTGCCAGCACGCCATACACACACCCCACACTCGTAGCCCTGAGGGGTGGAGGCGGGAGATATGGGAGAGGGAGGGAGGGAGGGAGGGAGGGAGGGAGGGAGGGAGGGAGGGAGGGAGGGAGGGAGGCAGAGAAGGGGGTGGGTGCATGATGCGTGAAAGCGGTACTTCAAAGTAGAAACCCTCTCTCTACGGATGATGCCCTGGGGAGGGGGGGATGGAGTGATGGGAGGGAGAGAGGGAGGGAGGGAAGGAGGGGGGGAAGGGAGAGGGAGGGGGAGGGAGGAAGGAAGTGGGGGAGGGAGAGAGGGAGGGAAGCAGGGAGGGAAATCCCAAAAACTGCTTGAGAAAAGGAGCGGCGAACCAGGCAAAGCAAATTTTGGAAATGGTAAAGACAGCGTGAGCAACAAGGAGGGAACGGGAGCAATGGGAACGGGAGCAACAAGGAGCAGCGTGCGTACCAGGCAGCAAAGGTGAGGTTGCGGTCGCCCGTGACGTGCAGCAGTCCAAAGACGCCCCCCGATACTATCACCCCCGCTGCATTCACCCCCACCAGCGGCAAGAGCGCCCCTCTAAAGAGCAGCTCCTGTGCACGGTTGGAGGTGGGTAGGCAGGGGGAATGAATGAGGAGAGCAGGAGAATGAGGATGGCAGGAGGATGAGGATGGCAGGAGGATGAGGATGGCAGGAGGATGAGGAGGGAAGCGGGCGAGTGCTCGTGTGCTGGGAGGCTTGGGTGGCAGCAAGGAAGGCCGGGTAGAGATGCAACAGCATTCAGAACACGCTGACCGCTGGCCGTGGATAATAAGCAGCACTGGCCCACTGGCCATGGATGATAAGGGCGTGTCTCCATTTCGCCCCCGACGGTTCGAACCGTGGACGGTCCGAACTGCGAAATGGTTACCAGCGTCGCATGGTTTCGTAACTTCATTCGTGAAAGTGTTAGCGACGTCGCCAACGATCTGAACCGTCGCGTCACTTTTTACTCTTTTCAACGGTTCAGAATCTGAACCCTTCACAGTTCGGAAACCAAACGGACGGTGCATCAGTACTAACTAGAGATTGGCGTGCGATTTTTTCGGAAAATGTGAAAGAAGATTGGCTTACGAAATTTGCAGTAAAGCTGTCGTGAATTTTGTAACGAAGCTACAGTGTCTCTAGCGAGGCTACAGTACTTCGGGAAATTCAAAACACTGAAAAAAGTGACATTCTTGCACTCGGATGGGGCAAAGTTCTGAATGACAATTCGAACAGTCCGGTACCTAAAAAGTGAACCGTCCAGAAAATTGCCAAAAATATAAAAGGAGACACGCCCTAAGCAGCACGCAACGCACCTCGGAGATGCCTGGGAGGAGTCCAATGGAGGAGCCCCACTTAGGCAGCATGACTTTGCGTGGCAGCAGCTTAAACACCTTTTTAGAGAAAAGATGGTGGTACACGCATCACGCACCTCGGAGATGCCTGGGAGGAGCGACACCCAGATGAGGTCCGTGGCGTTAAGGTTGGAGAGTGCTCGCGTGTTTGAGGAATTAGTGGCAGCAAGGAAGGCTGGGGAGAGACGCAGCAGAGCAAGGCGAGCAGCTGACACGATGGCTGCTGCTGCGAGGGCGAACGGTATGCTGGCTGGTGATAGGGTCACTGGGGGGTGGATGGAGGGGTGGAGAGGGGTGAAAGTGGGTGGGAGAGAGTTGAGGTGGGGAGGGGCGCAGGAGAGCAAGGCGAGCTGCTGACACAATGGCTGCTGCTGCGAGGGCGAACGGTATGCTGGCTGGTGATAGGGTCACTGGGGGTTGGATGGAGGGGTGGAGGGTGGTTGGGGGGGTTGAATGGGCGTTAAGGGGAGCTGGGATTGAAGCGTAAAGGAGGGTTAGTGTAGAGGGGTGGATAGAGGGGTGGAGAGGGGTGAACAAGCGTTGAGGGGGGTTGGAATGAAGGGTAAAGGAGAGGTAGTGTAGAGGCGGATAAGAAGAAAACGATGGCAGGGCTGCCAAAGGCACGGTGGAGAGCGATAAAGTATGGCGGAGAGTGGTTGAGCAAGGTGGAGAGTGATATAGGCATGGAGGAGGAGAAACAAGAGAACTAGGAGGAAGAGGAGGACAAAGAGGCCAGTCATGCCGCTCATTCTCTCCCATGCCATTCATACACTCAGATGCCAGTAATGCCCTCACATGCCATTCATATAATCAGATGCCAGTAATGCCCTCACATGCCATTCATACACTCAGATGCCAGTAATGCCCTCACATGCCATTCATACACTCAGATGCCAGTAATGCCCTCACATGCCATTCATACACTCAGATGCCAGTAATGCCCTCACATGCCATTCATGCCCTCACATGCCATTCATGCCCTCACATGCCATTCAGGCCCGCACATGCCATTCATGCCCTCACATGCCATTCATACACTCAGATGCCAGTAATGCCCTCACATGCCATTCATGCCCTCACATGCCATTCATGCCCTCACATGCCATTCATGCCCTCACATGCCATTCATGCCCTCACATGCCATTCATGCCCTCACATGCCATTCATGCCCTCACATGCCATTCATGCCCTCACATGCCATCATGCTCCCACATGCCCCTCATTCACGCATACATGCCATTCATTCACGCATACATGCCATTCATTCACGCATACATGCCATTCATTCACGCATACATGCCATTCATTCACGCATACATGCCATTCATTCACGCATACATGCCATTCATTCAAGCATACATGCCATTCATTCACGCATACATGCCATTCATTCACGCACATGGCATGGCTTGAAAGCAGTCAGTGATGGGCGCACCGGCGTCATGCCCCCAGGAGGATAGCTGGTGGAAGATGGGCGGAGGTGGGGCAGGGAGGAATGGGGGAAAGGGAGGAAAGAGTGAGAGAAGTGGGAGATTCAGGAATCCACTGTGGCAATGGGATAGGTGGAATGGAGCGGCGCCTTTTGAGGCGCCTCAAAAGATGGAATGGAGCGGCGCCTTTTGAGGCGCCTCAAAAGATGGAATGGAGCGGCGCCTCAGGAGATAGGTGGGGGTGAGATGGGTGGGGGTGAGATGGGTGGGGGTGGGATGGGTGGGGGTGAGATGGGTGGGGGTGAGATGGGTGGGGGTGAGATGGATGGGGGTGAGATGGGTGGGGGTGAGATGGCTGGGGGTGGGATGGGTGGGGGTGAGATGGGTGGGGGTGAGATGGGTGGGGGTGAGATGGGTGGGGGTGAGATGGGTGGGGGTGAGATGGATGGGGGTGAGATGGGTGGGGGTGAGATGGGTGGGGGTGAGATGGGTGGGGGTGAGACTGGCCGTGGTAGCACTCTAGTTGTGTGACAACTCAAACCAGATCATGAGATACTGCTGGGTGCAGCGATGGGCTGAATACCGGAGTCTCAAGTTTCCCCAAATTGCCTCATCTCTTCTACCTTTGGTTGGGTGTCACCAAGTTGATAGCTACCGACTTCACTGATCGTCTCGGTAGCGCCATTTCTCGAAATTATTGCACTGGCAAAGTCGATTGGCGTGCGAAGGGTCACACATAATTCAGGTAAAGATTGATTGAAGTGCGATTGTTTTTCAGTCACGAAGTGAAGCGCAAAGGATTTCCTGAGTTGCAGCCCAGCTTTGGTAACTCTGGTGATAGTGTTTCATTTCGTGACCTACATCTTTTGAGGCGACTTTTGAGGCGACTTTTGAGGCGCCTCAAAAGTAACTCTGGTGATAGTGTTTCATTTCGTGACCTACATCGAGCTATTTTCGGCACCACCCTGTTTCACAGGCCAATCCCTTCTCCTGCCCCAACCAACCTTCCTCCGTTTGAAAGCTATGGACCTCGGGTATTAAGTGGCTTTGCGGAGCAATGGGGATTGTGGGGAGGGTGGGGAAGGGGGGAGAGGGGGGAGAAGGAGCTGATGTCAAGAAAGTCAACGAGCCACCCACCTGTCTGACCAGCAGCCCAGCTACGGCCAAGCCTCCTGAAGTGGTTAGACACGCCCGCCAAACCTCCTCTCTAGGAGCGACAGCGACAGGAGCAGCAGGGACAGCAGGGGCAGCAGGGGCGGAAGAGGAAGTAGAATCTGGAGAGACGGGTGCAGCTATCGGCGGTGGCTTTTTAGTTGACTCGGAAGAGGAAGGAGAAGGTGGAGAGGTATCGGGTGTAGCTATGGATGGCGACGGTTGACCCGGTTGACTCAATTGACCTGATTGACTCAAATTCATTGACGCCTGGGTCAACTCGAAAATTTCCTGGGCTGATTTCTCTGGCCGCTCTGGTTGAATTGGTTGACTTGATTGACTGTCATTCAAGCGGTCCTGCTGCTGCCGGCTCGGCGCGCTGGACGGAGAAGGTTTGTTGGCGGCCTTCCTGCTGCCACGCGACTGTTTCGCGCTGCTTCCAGATTGTCGCTTGGCAGCTCGTGCGACGCCTGCTTTGCGCTGCGAGCCGACGCTGCGATGGTTCGCGACGGTCTGCGACTGCTTATACATGCGACTGCGACGCGACTGCTTGAGCGGGAGCTCGGCGACGAAAAGCGAGCAACGCCATGGTGCCTCACGGCGGATGGCGAGAGCAACTGATTGTGCGGTTACCATTGGCGAAAGCCTACATGTTTTCGCACGGGATGGAAATCCTGTTCCGAGCGAGGGTGCGCACGCGTGCATCGCGCGTGAATGCGGAGGATGCGTCGGTCGCCGGCTCGACGGGCGGAGCGCTGGAGGATCACCGGCTCGCGGAGGAAAGGCGAGCGAGTTAGCTGTGCTATCAGAATGTAACACGGGGTGAATGCGCAGCAACTTCAATTCTATTTGCTCTGTGTGCTCAGTGGATTTGTGAGGATATCTTATCTGAAGCGAGGTTCGAGAACGAATGAAGTGGGTGCTGACGAACCGGGTGAGTCAGCACACCCTGTTTCGCGAAAGCGTACGCACACATCTTCGCGATAGAAAACCGGTTGGGCGAAAGATCAATCTTTGCCCAACCGAGAGGAACTTCCACACTCGTCGAACTTCCAATCAAACTAACAGGTCGAGTTCTCGCAGCTCACAGTAACTTCTCTGCATAGGGTAACCGCTTAATATCTGATATGAAACTCGTGATTGTACTCCCTCCTGCGCAACGCACCCACGCATACACGTGATTGTTCTCGTTACAATCTCTAGCATACGTACTCGACTCAAAATGACACGAGTTTTCCTTTCCTCGCTGTGAAACACTTAGCTGCCATTATAGTACTTCGTCCGCACCTTTGGAGCGCGTCGTCCGAGCAGTACCCACGTCTACGTTAGACAGGCTCATTCGCCCTTAGCGGAAGAGGGCGACCGCTGTTTAGGTCGTGGAACATAATCATTTTCGGCCAGCACTTTCACCTGGCATTTACTCGACCATTTAGTTTCGCCAACGGTTCGCGAACGACGGCCATTTCGCGACTGAGATCGCTTCGATAACCGCAGGTCCGCGCACCGCAACGAGGAAGGCGCGCCGGCAGGAAGGAAGCCGGACTTGCTCCGCCAGTGCCCGCTGCCATCCCAGCTCTGAGTCGATTTTGGAGTCGACTCAAAAATCGTCTCATCACAAGCGCCAGCAAGGAGGAAAGCCGGCGGACGTGCTCCGCCAGTGCCCTCTGCGATCCGATCGCAGCTCTGAGGCACCTCTCACATTTACCAGCCAGAGGAAGTTGATTGGGCGTTTCGTCGCCCTCCCTCAGCGATCCATTTACGATCCATTTGCGATCTGCGATCCCGCTGCGATCTCTCTGCGATCCCTCTGCGACCTGCGATCCCTCTGCGATACCGCTGCGATCTCTCTGCGATGGCTCAAGTACCCACCGACGTGCTTCTCCGGTGAGGCGCGCGAGAGGGAAGAGGGGGATGAGGCACGGGGAGAAATAAAGGAAGAGGACAGAGGTGAGTGAGGCAAGGAAGGAGGAGCGGGGAGGCGAGGAGAGATGAGGGAAGCATCGAGCCGCCTGTGCTCTGTCACCCGGCCCATCCATGCCCGCGCATGCATCCCGCCCCCCACTCCCTCACCCTTCTCCTCCCTCATCCCTCCCTACCATGACCCCTGACAGGGCGTTGAGGGAGGAGGTGGCGGCGATAGCGGCGCTGAAGCAGGCCATTCGAGACAAGCTGCACGTGCTGCAGGTGGGCGTGGGGTGGGGGTGGGGGTGGGGACTTTTGAGGCGCCTCAAAAGGGTGGGGTTGGAGGCGGGGAGCATGGGGTGGCAGGGTGGTGGGCAGGTGGGGGTGGGTGGGTGGGGGCTTGGGGTGGTGGTGACGATAAGTGCCTCATAAGCAGGCCCTCGAGACAAGCTGCACGTGCTGCACGCGGGGAGTGGGGTGTGCCATGGTGGGTGGGTGGGTGGATGGGATGAGGTAGTGCACGGCAAGGAGTACCACAGAAGCAGCATGGCATGTAGCTTGAACGATCCATAAAAACTATGCGCGCGAAATGACCGCATTTGTTGCTAGTGACCTTTGCGTGCCTCTGGCATGCCCCCATGCCATGCTCCCATGCCATGCCCTCATGCCATGCCCCCATGCCATGCCCTCATGCCATGCCCATGCCTCCATGCCCTGCCCATGCCCCCATGCCATGCCCATGCCTCCATGCCCATGCCCCCATGCCCTGCCCATGCCTCCATGCCATTCCCATGCATCCATGCCAAAACCATGCCCCCATTCCATGTCTCTCCATGCCATGGCTCCATGCATCCATGCTCGGCTGCCACCATGTGGGCAGGTAGACGAGCCCCCCGGTCATGCCCCTATGCCGCCCATGTCCTCATGCCATGGCCCCATTCCCCTATGCCGCCCTGCTTCCCATCCCATGTGCGTTCTCACGCAGGCAGGTGGACGAGGCGAGCATGATGGAGATCCTCGCGCAGGCGGACGCCCCACCCATCCCTCCGCCATGGCCCATGCCCCCCTACCCTCCCCATGCCCCCCTACCCTCCCCATGCGCCCCTACTGTACCCCGTGCCCCCTTCTCAACAGGTGGACGAGGCGAGCATGATGGAGATCCTCGCGCAGGCGGACGCCCCACCCGCCGTCAGAGCAGCCGCTGCTGCTGCTGAAGCGCACATGCACAAAAGCGCTGGGGGAAGTGGAGATGGGGGAGGGGGCGCGGATTGGGGCGGGGAAGAAAGGGAGGGGGCGGGGGAGGAGGAAGGGGAGGAGGAGATGAGTCTGGACGATATGGTGGCTGGGCTGGCGGAGGAACTTGAGAGGGAGATGGGGGGTGGCGGGGGGCATGTGGGGGGACATGTGGGCGGTGGGGGGCAAGTGGGCAGTGGGGGGCAGGGGGGGAATGCAGGCAGGGGGGAAGGAGTGGGGGAAGGTGGGGGAGGAGGAGGAGGGGGAGGAGGGGGAGGAGGAGATGAGTTTGGATGATCTGGTTGCGGGGCTGGCGGAGGAACTGGAGAGAGAGATGGGGGGTGGCGGGGGGCACATGGGGGGCGATGGGGGCCATGGGGGTGGTGAGGGGCATGGGGCCGGTGGGGGGCATGTGGGGGGGCATGAGGGGGGTGGTGGGGGCCACGCGGATGCAGACAGTGGGGGAGGAGGAGGGGATGAGTTTGGATGATCTGGTGGCAGGGTTGGCGGAGGAGCTTGAGAGAGAGTTGGGGGGCGGCGGGGGGCATTTGGGGGGAAATGTGGGCGGTGGGGGGCATGTGGGGGAGCATGAGGTTCATGGTGGGGGGCACGTGGATGCAGGCAGAGGGGGAGGAGGGGGAGCAGAGGGGGGAGGGGGAAGTGGGGGAGGTGGATCGGCGGGTGAGATGGAGAGAGGGGCGGGGGATGGTGTGGCGGATGCAAGAAGCTGATGAGGAGATGATGAGTTTGGATCATTTGGTTGCATTGCAGGGCCAAACTGCATGAACCCCCTGCAACCATCTCATTTGGTTGCAGGGCTGGCTGGCGGAGGATGTGGAGAGAGATGGGGGGTGGTGGGTGGGGGCATGAGATTCTTGGGGGGGATGCACTGCAGGCAGTGGAGGCGGATTCATGCGGGGGAAATCATGGGGCATGCACGAGGGAAAGCAGACACGGTAGCGAGGGGGGAGATGAGCGGAGATGTGGGGGTGGGGAGGTGGAGGTTCAGAGAATGCAGTACGCAAGACCCTAGACGGGGGAGAATGCTACGCCTCGCAAGCTTATGCAGACCAGATAGGGGCGATGGGGAGAAGCTGAAATTGGCGAATCGTGTGATGGTGTGTGTTGTGGAACGAAAGATTCGAGTGAGAAGGCGGGGACAGGCTGGAGAAGGCGCTTTTGAGTCGACTCAGAACCTGAAATTGGAGAATCTTATGATGGTGTGTGGTGTGGAAGGGAAGATTCGAGTGAAATGAAGGGGACGGGCTGAAGAAGGCGAAGGGTCAGCAGGCGTGATGCACATGGGAAGAGGGAGACTGGGGGATGATGGGTGGAGGAGGTAGAGGAGAGAGAGGAAGGAGAGGAGGGAGAGGAGGGAGTGGAAGAAGGAGGACAAGTGTTTTTATCAGTTGGAATGGTAAGTTGAGGCAGTGAAATGGTGGGGAGGGTAGGGGCTGTGGTGTGAGGAGGGCTGCTGAGGGTACAGGGAGGGCAGGGGGAAGGCGGGGGGAAAGGCGAAGGGGAGGGGAGACGGAAGGGATTGAAGCACAGGGATGACGCGGGAAGGGCTGGCGGTATGGGAAGGGGTGACTGCATGGGAAGGGGTGACTGCATGGGAAGGGGCAGTGGCACTGTGGCATGGACGGCACGAGGCTTGGGTAGCGCAGGGCGGCAGGGGGGCATGAGGAGGATGGGGGAAGTGTGTGTTTTTCTTGAAAGGAGAGGAAGGGGCAAAGCATGGGAAAGTGGGATAGGATGGTTGGTGGGTGAAGGGGGCATGCAATGGTGTTACTTTCGAGTATTCTCAAAAGTATCACCAATATTGGATGGTTGGTGGGTGAAGGGGGCATGCAATGGTGTTACTTTCGAGTATTCTCAAAAGTATCACCAATATTGGATGGTTGGTGGGTGAAGGGGGCATGCCATGGTGTTACTTTCGAGTATTCTCAAAAGTATCACCAATATTGGATGGTTGGTGGGTGAAGGGGGCATGCAATGGTGTTACTTTCGAGTATTCTCAAAAGTATCACCAATATTGGATGGTTGGTGGGTGAAGGGGGCATGCAATGGTGTTACTTTCGAGTATTCTCAAAAGTATCACCAATATTGGATGGTTGGTGGGTGAAGGGGGCATGCAATGGTGTTACTTTCGAGTATTCTCAAAAGTATCACCAATATTGGATGGTTGGTGGGTGAAGGGGGCATGCAATGGTGTTACTTTCGAGTATTCTCAAAAATATCACCAATATTGGATGGTTGGTGGGTGAAGGGGGCATGCAATGGTGTTACTTTCGAGTATTCTCAAAGTATCACCAATATTGGATGGTTGGTGGGTGAAGGGGGCATGCAATGATGTTACTTTCGAGTATTCTCAAAAGTATCACCAATATTGGATGGTTGGTGGGTGAAGGGGGCATGCAATGGTGTTACTTTCGAGTATTCTCAAAAGTATCACCGATATTGGATGGTTGGTGGGTGAAGGGGGCATGCAATGGTGTTACTTTCGAGTATTCTCAAAAGTATCACCAATATTGGATGGTTGGTGGGTGAAGGGGGCATGCAATGGTGTTACTTTCGAGTATTCTCAAAAGTATCACCGATATTGGATGGTTGGTGGGTGAAGGGGGCATGCAATGGTGTTACTTTCGAGTATTCTCAAAAGTATCACCAATATTGGATGGTTGGTGGGTGAAGGGGGCATGCAATGGTGTTACTTTCGAGTATTCTCAAAAGTATCACCAATATTGGATGGTTGGTGGGTGAAGGGGGCATGCAATGGTGTTACTTTCGAGTATTCTCAAAAGTATCACCAATATTGGATGGTTGGTGGGTGAAGGGGGCATGCAATGGTGTTACTTTCGAGTATTCTCAAAAGTATCACCAATATTGGATGGTTGGTGGGTGAAGGGGGCATGCAATGGTGTTACTTTCGAGTATTCTCAAAAGTATCACCAATATTGGATGGTTGGTGGGTGAAGGGGGCATGCAATGGTGTTACTTTCGAGTATTCTCAAAAGTATCACCAATATTGGATGGTTGGTGGGTGAAGGGGGCATGCAATGGTGTTACTTTCGAGTATTCTCAAAAGTATCACCAATATTGGATGGTTGGTGGGTGAAGGGGGCATGCCATGGTGTTACTTTCGAGTATTCTCAAAGGTATCACCAATATTGGATGATTGGTGGGTGAAGGGGGCATGCAATGGTGTTACTTTCGAGTATTCTCAAAAGTATCACCAATATTGGATGGTTGGTGGGTGAAGGGGGCATGCGATGGACAGAGATGGGTCACGGACCTGGTGACTGCTGTGGGAAGCATGAGTGCTGAGTCATGGTGGGTGAAGCGCGGGGGTTGACTGACAGTCAGGGGACTGAAGGAAGTAGAAAAGATGGGTTTTTTTCCTCCCTCCTTCCCCTCTCCCTCCCCCCCTTATCTCCTCCCTCCCTTTTCTTCCCACTACTTCCCTAATGTGCCATGTGTTTTCTTCCTCCTTCCATTCCACATTGTTACCATTGCTGAGCATTGAGCACCTCTTCTCCAAGGTGACTTTTGAGTCGACTCAAAAGTCACATTGTTATCATTGCTGAGCATTGAGCACCTCTTCTCCCTCTCCTAGGCCTGCCAGCGTTGAATGAGGCACTCCTTGCCTCCTCGCATCATCTCATGCACAACACGCTACGCACAACACGCTATGCTTTCCCTCACCCCCTTCCCCTTTTCACCTTTTCTCCCATCTCACTCGACTGCGCTTCCCTCTGCTCTCCCTAATCAATCCGCCTTTGCGTCGCCACTCCTTTCAGGCGGACTCATGTCATGTCATGTCATGTCATGTCATGTCACGGCTACAGGCAGTGTGTGCAAGGCGTCACATGCATTCAGAAAGACTGGAGTCGAAGTTATTTTCTCTGACTATTGTTCCTGCCTTGTGCTCAAGGAAAGCTAATGTCGTGTGGTACTAGTTCCTGCCTAGTTGTGCTGTGAATGTGGCGTAAATCCCTTGCAGCAGGTAGGGCCTTGTCAGCAAAATGGGAACACCTTAAACGAGAAAGCAAGCATGAACTGAAATCCACCCTAACATGACAGCACTGGCTTTTATGTCGTGTTGCAAAACAATTGGCTGCATGATATGAGATGTCCATATTGTGGAACAAATATCTCAACATACAGACACACAGGACACGCCGTGCGCTGCACGGTGTGCTTGCGGTCAGCCATAACAGCATGATGCGGCCCAGCCCTGCCTCCTACAGGTAGTAGGTATTTGCGAGGCGCCTCATAAGCAGACCCATGCTACACGGTGTGCTTGCGGTCAGCCATAACGCGCATGATGCAGCCAAAATGTTGATAATAACACAGAGAAACACACGGGCTGCACTGCACGCTATACGGTGTGCTTCCTGTCAGCCATAACGCGCATGATGCAGCCCAGCCCTGCCTTCTCCGTCAGCTTCTCATGCACCCGCAGCGCCCGCGCACACAGCGATGCATCCCCCGTCCTCAGCGCTCGGTACAGGTACCTGCCGGGAGGGCAAGGTCATGTGGGGGGGCACGTGAGTATGGAGGAGGGGCACAGCGGGGTGCAGGGGGCACGGCGGGGTGCAGGGGGCACGGCGGGGTGCAGGGGGCACGGCGGGGTGCAGGGGGCACGGCGGGGTGCAGGGGGCACGGCGGGGTGCAGGGGGCACGGCGGGGTGCAGGGGGCACGGCGGGGTGCAGGGGGCACGGCAGAGTGGGGTGAAGGAGCACACAGCAATGCATCCCCCGTCCTCAGCGCTCGGTACAGGTACCTGCAGCGGCATGGTGGTTGGGGGGTACATTGGGGTGGAGGGGCACGGCAGGGTGAGGGAGCAGGGCGGGCTGACATGGAAAGGTGTGGAAAGGTGTGGCAGACATGGGTGGTGGCGCTTCATAACAAGTAGGCACGGTGCAAGAGTGAAGGTGGTGGACGGTATGAGGGACAGGCGAGTGTCACTCGTGGCATGGTGGGACAGACAGGTGGAAAAAGGGACAAGCGCAAGATGGATGGTGGGGAGGAAAGAGAGAGAGAGGTGCTGGAAGAGAGAGAAAGGGAGAGAGAGGAAACGTGGGAGCAAGGAATGGGAAGAGAGCGAGGCATGAGACCGAGTAACATCAGCAGTGGAGAGTGCAGCGGAAACAGTTGAAAGAGCAGCAACAAAACAGGAGCGGGACCAACTCAACCTTTTGGCCGCTAGCCCCCCACTGCACCAACTCAGAAGGCAACATACACTCAGCACTCACCGCATGAGTGTGTCATGTCGCACTCCTCGGATTTCAACCCTGCGATGGCCCCATCCACATCCTCCTCCGCCACCAGCGCGCCAAGTTTTGAGTCGACTCTACAGCCACACAGCACTCACCCGCACAGCAGGGCAAGGAATGGCAGCACACAGCATTACTCACCGCATGAGCGTGTCGCACCCCTCGGACTTGAGCCCTGCAATGGCCCCATCCACGTCCTCCACTCTACTGCCACCAGCGCTCTGACTTGTGAGTCGACTCACCCATCTTACGCAATCTTCCCTACTCAAGCACACAGCACTCACTCACCGCATGAGTGTGTCGCACCCCTCGGATTTCAACCCTGCAATGGCCCCATCCACATCCTCCACTGCCACCAACGCCCGCTGCACCACCTCCCAGTTGGCGTCCTGCTCGCACGGGAGGGCAACGAGTGGAAGGAAATTTGTGAATGAAGAATAGGACTGCGCCAGCGCCTGCTGCACGGAGCGGCACCGGCGCCCGCTGCACGGAGCGGCACGGAGCGGCACCGGCGCTCGCTGCACCACCTCCCAGTTGACGTCCTGCTCGCCCCTCACCTGCATGGGAGGGCAAAGAACGGAATGAAATGGAAGGGATTTAAAAACTGAGTCAAAGGAGAGCATCAGCGCCCGCTGCACCTCCTCCCGGTCAACGTCCTGCGCGCCCCTCAGCAGCACAGCAGGGCACGCAGTGGCACGACAAGGAAGGGGTTTGGCAAATGAGGCAAAGGATTGCGCCAGCGCCCGCTGCACGGAGTGGCATGGAGCGGCACCAGCGCCCGCTGCACCACCTCCCAGTTGGTGTCCTGCGCGCCCCTCACCCGCACAGCAGGGCATGGATTGGAAGGGAAGGAAAGGGATTTAGTGCAGGAGTCAAGAAAGGTTGTGATGTGAGCCAACTCAAATCACACCCGCTGCACCACCTCCCAGTTGGCCTCCTGCACCATCTACCTGCGCGCCCCTCGCCGGCACAGCAGAGCACGGAGTGGCATGGAAAGGAAGAGGTTCAGTGAATGAATCAACGAAGGTTGGCAGACAAATGACTCACAGAATGTTGACCTCACACAGTGCCATACTGTTCTAGAATCTGTCAGTATGGCCGAATGGCATACAGCCATACTGCCTTCTAAAACAGTCTGGCAGTGCGGTTGGACAGGAGCAATGGGTGGAGTGGAATCGACCCGACACAAACTGACTTCGATCGATCCGAGCCAGGTGCAGGTCGGGTTGGGTCGGGTCGACTCGAAGTCGAGTTGAGACTTTTTAAAGCTTTTATAAGTCGAGTTGAGACCTTTTAAAGCATTTATAAGTCGAGTTGAGACTTTTTAAAGCTTTTATAAGTCGAGTTGAGACTTTTTAAAGCTTTTACAAGTCGAGTTGAGACTCTTTAAAGCTTTTATAAGTCGAGTTGAGACTCTTTGAAGCTTTTATAAGTCGAGTTGAAACTCTTTAAAGCTTTTATAAGTCGAGTTGAGACTCTTTAAAGCTTTTATAAGTCGAGTTGAGACTCCTTAAAGCTTTTATAAGTCGAGCCCCCAACCCGACCTGCACCGACCTTCTGACCCAAGCTTTTATAAGTCGAGCCGAATGAATGAAGGTAATAAGAAGCGTGGCAAGGGACGTGTTGAGCCGCCCCCCCCACTATACCCCCTCACACCCCCTCCCTTTGATCCTGGGCTGTGGCTGCCCGAGCATATTGCAACCAGATGACTTTTGAGTCGACTCAGAAGAGTGGCAAGGGACGTGTTGAGCCGGCCCCCCTACTATACCCCCTCACACCCCCTCCCTTTGCTCCTGGGCTGTGGCTGCCCGAGCATATTGCAACCAGATGACTTTTGAGTCGACTCAGAAGAGTGGCAAGGGACGTGTTGAGCTGGCCCCCCTACTATACCCCCTCACACCCCCTCCCTTTGCTCCTGGGCTGTGGCTGCCCGAGCATATTGCAACCAGAATTCACAAGTTGGGTCTCCCTCTCGCACATTAAAGCCAAGCCCAGCGCACCTTGCACTTTTGGTCGCGCGTGGCGATGGGAGGGTCGCTCACAGCCGCCTTGAGCGCCTCTGGCACTCGACCCCTGCAGGCTCGTGCACCCAAGAAAGGGGGAGGGGGGAGAGAGGGGGAGGCGGGAAGGCGCCGGGAGGAGAAGGGATGGCAATGGGAGGGTCGCTCACGGCCGCCTTGAGCGCCTCTGGCACTCAACCCCTGCAGGTTCCAAGCACGCAGGAGGGGAGGAGAAGGTAAGAGGGGAGAAGGGGTGGCGATGGGCGGGTCGCTCACAGCCGCCTTGAGCGCCTCTGGCACTCGACCTCTGCAGGGCAAGTGCCGTGCACGCAGGGGAAGGAGGGGGGGAGAGGGGGGGGGGGGAGGACGGGGCGGAAGGCAGGGCGGGGAGAGGCTTTGGCGATGGGAGGGTCGCTCACGGCCGCCTTGAGCGCCTCTGGCACTCGACCCCTGCAAGCCCCATGCGCCCGGGGAGAGGGGGGGAAACGGGGGGCGAGGAGGGGGAGGTGGGGGGAGGTGGGGGGAGGTGGGGGGGAGAAGGGTTGGCGATGGGAGGGTCGCTCACGGCCGCTTTGACCGCCTCTGGCACTCGACCCCTGCAGGGCAAGCGCCGTGCACGCAGGGGAAGGAGGGGGGGAGAGGGGGGGGGGGAGGACGGGGCGGGAGGCAGGGCGGGGAGAGGCTTTGGCGATGGGAGGGTCGCTCACGGCCGCCTTGAGCGCCTCTGGCACTCGACCCCTGCAAGCCCCATGCGCCCGGGGAGGGGGGGGGACGGGGGGCGGGGAGGGGGAGGTGGAGGGAGGTGGGGGGGAGAAGGAGTGGCGATGGGAGGGTAGCTCACGGCCGCTTTGACCGCCTCTGGCACTCGACCCCTGCAGGCCCTGTGCACGCGGGGGAGGAGAGGAGGGTGAAGGGGGGAAGAGGTGAGAAAGAGAGGGGGGGGGGGGTGGGAAGGGGGAAGGGGGAAGGGGGAAGGGGGAAGGGGGAAGGGGGAAGGGGGAAGGGGGAAGGGGGAAGGGGGAAGGGGGACCACCTCACCACCACACGTGGATGAGCGCCTCTGGAGATGACCCGTGCAGCCCCCCTGCACGCGGGGAGAATGAGGGGAAGGGGGAAGGGGGAAGGGGGAAGGGGAAGGGGGAAGGGGGAAGGGGAAGGGGAAGGGGGGAGGGGAAGGGGTGAGAAGGTGGGAATAAGTGCACCATCATGGTCACGCATGGGAGCAGTTGAGCACATTCGCATGAAGGGAGCGAGAGGGGCGCATGCAGGGAGCCATAGAGGCGCATGCAGGGAGCAATAGAGGCGCATGCAGGGAGCAATAGAGGCGCATGCAGGGAGCAATAGAGGCGCATGCAGGGAGCAATAGAGGCGCATGCAGGGAGCCATAGAGGCGCATGCAGGGAGCAATAGCGGCGCATGCAGGAAGCGTGGGGGGGCCGATTGGGGGAGAGAGTCGAACGGAGGGAGCGGGATTGGGGAATGGAGGGGCGAATGGAGCGAGCAGGGGGGACAGATGCAGGGAGCGAGAGCGGCGAAGGGATGGGGAGAGAGGGGCAAATGCAGGAATCGTGAGGGACGAATGCAGGTAGCGAGAGAGGAAAATGCACGGACCGTTGCCATTGGCATGAGGGGACGAGGGGGTGGGTGATCGAATGGCAGGCGACGCGGGAGAAGCGGCGCACGCGGGAGAAGCCTCTCACTCGGACAGGAAGTGCACGACGCGCTGCGAGCGATCGTCGATCTTGGCGAGGATCTCCTCGGGGCTCTCCGCGTCAGCATCGTCGTCCGAGCCCATCGCCAGCTCCTCCTCCTCCGCCATCCCCAACATCTCTATCTGTAAACTATGTGAACATTCTCGTTCCTGATGCAATAACCTGAGAATTGATCCAAGCCGTCAGGTCAACACATCGCTGGCAATTGCAGTGAACCAAAAACATCCGAACCAACGAGATGCGCGTTGTCAATCAATGGTAGATGACCAAGTTGCTCCTTGTTACAAAGAAACTATTTTATTGAGAAAGCTTGCTTTCTTATTTTTATCAATTGGCATCGTTCTCATTACAACTGGGCATCGTTCTCATTACAACTGGCTTATTACAACATTTGCATCGAGATTGAACACAAGCTAGTGCATGCTAATATCACTAGCTAAGATGTACCCTATCCAAGTGGCATTAGCAAGGCGTTCTACGCTGGGGTGGGTGGTGGGGATGTTGAGTGAGCCGTTTGAAATAGAGAAACGTGGGTGGAGGGAAATGAGCTCCAACCCACGGTTTTTGTAGTTGGAGAAGGGCGTTTAGCGCGCTTCGACGATGCCAATTGTGCAGTACAAGCAGCTTCGCTTTCACAATACACAATTTTAAAAAACACAATGTGTGTTTAAAAATTATAATATTGAGAAAGCTTGCTTTCTTATTTTTATCAATTGGCATCGTTCTCATTACAACTGGGGTCTCAGAGACATGGGCAGCGGGGGCCTCCTATGGCGTACGAGCGCCTCTGTGTGTTGCGCCGAAGACACCGCCTGCGTCGGATCTTGCAGGTTGCGGGATGCTGTGATGAGAGGCTCGACGTATGGCGTGACGTACATTTCCTTAGCTGTGTCGCTTCGCCATCTGCCCAGCCGTTTGAAGACTCTGTCTGGCACTCCAGTGTTGGCTGCTACTGTGGCCGCGCCTTTTCGGAAAGAGTGAGTGCCGAGCTGCAGCTCTCCCAGACCAACTTTTGCGAAAGCTTCCTTACACCAGTTCCGAATTGTAGTGTATGAAGGCGGCTTCGCTTGGCCTTTGCTGCTTGAAGCGTGCCCGAAGACACGAATCAACGGTCCCTCTGACTGAGGACCATAGCCGGCGAGTTGGATGAAGCGTCGGGTGCAGCGCACTGGGCAACAAGGGTCTGTCGTTGCTGCAATGGGTATCCATGTTCCGTGACCGGCCTGATCGGTCTTAGAGTGTGGTATGAGGATCCACATGACCTCTTCGTCGAATTGGATGTCTTGCCATTGTATGGCCACTAGGTCGGAGTATCGCAGAAATCCTGAGTACATGAGGATGGGGATCAGCCCTTTCTGAAATTCCGCAGGGTCGTCAGACTGCAGGTAACTCCCGGCCATGTCGCGGACTTGTTGGATCGATACGGGTTCCTTCAGACGAGTAGGGCGGGGGCAGTGTCGTTTTGCTCGCGGACTTGGGTGGTAAACGGACCGATTGTTGGGCATTTGTTCCCAGTCATGCGATGGGCGAAGCTTACTGCCGAGCACGTCAGCTGCACTACGGACAGGGTGGCTTTGCGTCGGATTGCGTGAACCAGGTATAGTGCGAGTGTCATGTCGGAAGCTGGAAGAAAGGAGAGATTCACTTTTGTGCAAAATGCTCGAAACTTGGCCCAGTATGGTTCGTATGTCCGGATCGTAGAATCGGCGCGTGACTGCGCGAGCATTTTGATCAGTTGGTCGTGTAACTTTGGGAGCAAATCTGAACACAGGAGTGGACAATATGCATTAGTCAAATACCACTCGCAGTGCAATGATTGGGCTATGCGGTAGTCCCGTGCCCGAGAAGGCAGTAGAATGGGACCCTGTATCTAGGCATTGGCTTCCGTGTGTGAGAGGGATGTGCGCGTGGATGTGTGGAGCCCAAGTACATAGGGAGGGTTGCAAAAGTGGCCACCAACTTGCGCCTGGCCAGTGCGGGACTATTAATGTGAGTGATGCATGGGTGCGTTGTGCATGGTGGAGGACGGCTGGGACCAGTTGGGGTGGGGGGAAGGCGAAGTTGTTTTCGGTTGTCCATGCGATCGAGAACGCATCAACTGCGATGGCTTCCGGGTGGGGGATCTTGGTGCAAAAGCGCGAGAGTTGGGTGTTGTGAGAGTTTGCAAAGAGGTCGATGGAATGCGGACCCCAACGACGTTCTAAGATGCGAAACCACGGCTTCTTCAACGCGTAGTCGTCGTGGTCGACCATTTTTGAAAGCTCGTCAGCATGTGAGTTGAGCTCTCGCGGGATCCATTCAATGATCAAGCGCGTGCCGAGCCCCATGCATGTTCGGATGATGCTTTTGCAAGCCATTGTGAGGTCAGAGCTGTGAGAGCCGCCTTTGCGAAGGATGAAGAATACGCCCTGGTTGTCCACCCGCACGAGAACGTGTTTTTGCTTGATCTTGTTGGCGTACGTTTGGAGCGCCCAAAGGACGCCTTCGATCTCCCGCCGCGTGCTGGACGTTGCCTGTAGTGGCTCTGACATGGTTGCGCTCGCTTCTTCGAGGCCACCCGGAAATGTAGTTAGAGTGGCGCCCCAACCATGAGAGCTGGCATCCACATGAATTACCGCATCGTAGCTGTTCCGGACGTGGAAAGGTGCACCGTTGAACCGGTCGAACTCCTCAAGCCAAAAGTGTAGCTCCTCTGCTGCGGCTGGGGGGATGACCACGTTGCTTTTCCATGACGGTGCGTCGTTGATTACTTGTAACATGGCGTGGCTGAATGCGCGAGCGGTCGCGCCAAGTGCGACCCCCATTGATGCGAGCATGCCTGTGATTCTGGCCACGTGGCGGACCGGGACTGGTCGGCATGCCTTGCTTGCGCTCAGGAGGTTTTGGATGGTTGCATGTAGTGAGGCTCGTCGGTCGGGACCGATGGAGAATCGACCGGTATCGGTTTCCAGCTCTACACCCAAAAATCGTAGGCGTTGCGATGGTGACAGCTGTGATTTCTTCGCGTTTATCACGAGTCCTGCCTCTTTAAGGTCCAATATCACACGCTGGCAGATCGCTTGCGCATGGTCTTTCGACTGACAGAGGAATAAGATGTCGTCCACGTAAGGGATGACTCGGATGCCTTGTTCTCGCCAGCGCCGAGCCAGTTGCTTGATGAGCTGCGTGAAGACGAATGGAGCTGTCGCGAGGCCAAATGGCAGTGAACGAAATGCGTACGTGCGCCTCCCAAATTCGAAGCCGAGGAACTTCCAGCATGATGGGTGGATGTCGATGTGGTGGTAACCGGATTTAAGGTCAATGGAGAACATCCAATCCCCAACGCGTGCCAGGTCCGCCACGCGGTTGAGCCCCTCGTACTTGAACTTGGGGACGATTAAGCTTGCGTTGACTTTCCGCAGATCAAGAATGAGTCTGCATTTGTCTTTTTGCTCGACCACATTGAGTGGACTTATACACGTCAGCTCCGTTGCGGGCATCTGGACTGCTGCTCCGGTCTCTAGGAGTTCTTGGATAGCGGTACGCGTGAACGTAGCATGCGTGTTTGCCCCGACATGGTTGCGATCGTGGAAGGGTTGTGGTGGGCCGTGGCTCCATGGTAGCCAATAACCCCTGGCGATGACGGAAAGGACGAGGCTGCAGGGACACCAGGAGCTCCACCACGCAAAGGTCGCACGAAGTCGACCGCGCATTTGTGTAATGGTTTTGTCCGTGACGGCAAATTCATACGGATCGTCGTAACATACCGCCTCGCACTGTCGTGCTCCTGTAATTGAGGCAAATGGGGTAGGGTTGGGAGTTCCATTTGACGCATGCATGTGCGTATGCATGTACGCGCAATCGTTGATCAATGGTGTGAATGAGATTGCCTATCTATCGAAAGGACAACAAATATGTCGTGCGCGCGCCGACACTTCTTCTTCTTCTTCTTTTTGGTTTTTTTTTTTTTTTTTTTTTTTTTTTTTTTTTTTTTTTGCTCCATGGGCACCCTGATTATGGTAGGCAAGTAGGTGTCACTCTCTGGACCCCCTCCTCTTTTTTTTTTTTTTTTTTTTTTTTTTGTCTCATCTAGCACCGTGGCTAGCCCTTTTTCCGATACATCACATCGCGCTTAATTTTTTTTTTTTTTTTTTTTTTTTTTTTTTTTGCTCGCCTTGTCATCCACTTGGTAAGACGTGGTTGTGCATGCCTTTAGTGCATGTGGGCTGGTGCTTTGAACCATGGACATGCGTGTCCACCGTGCTTTGTCTTGTTCTCTCTCTCTCTCTCTCTCTCTCTCTCTCTCTCTCTCTCTCTCTCTCTCTCTCTCTCTCTCTCTCTCTCTCTCTCTCTCTCTTCCTCTCTCTCTCTCATGCTCTGCACCTCCTCTGTGTGTCTAGAGGCTCTTTGCAAAATAGTAAATCAAGGAACTTTTTATTAAATCAACCAACACACATTGCAATGCTTCCTAGCATTCATCACCCCACCGGGTGGCCAAATACATGGGACCGAGGGGTTGTTGTTCCCCTTCCCAATCCTAGGCCCAAAGCCTATTACTACCCTTCACTAGGGCTGGCCTCTTGCCATCGCAAACCCCTAGGGCTGCCCACGGTTTCCGCACTCAAGAGTGCACCGTGCCTAGCGCCCAAGGCGCCTAATCCCTTGGCCCGCTCCTACACCACCGGAGCGGGTCCTTGGCCGCCATGCCCGTTCCTAGGGCAGGCACTTGCCACATGTCCCAGCTGGCCGCAGCGGAAGCACGAGCCCCGAAACCCACGACAATTGGCCGTGGGCGGGGGGGCCCGCTTGGGTAAGAACGGCATCGGCCCGTTGTTTCCGCCGCGGGTGACACGAGCGTATGCACTTGCCGCGCGGTCCATTGCAGCCATATCCGCGACCGCCTGCTTGAAGGGTCGAGAGGTCAGCAGG